ATTTGGCACATGAGAAGCGCGACGTTTGAAACAGGCCTTAGTCAAAACTAAGACTTTAAGCATTCTACTTAGAGTAGATCAGCACAATTCCATGCAGTATATTATTGGATTTCTATCTTCTTTTTTAGTTGGAGAAAGTTTCGTCAGTTACGCTGAAGTCGAATGAAGTGAACGTAGAAGGGGATTGGTTCAATCCATCCAAGAATTCTCACCCTTCACACGTTTGGATATCCTTTTGCATAAAGAAAAGGGTAACAAAATAGGTTGAGCGAAACAGCGAAGAATCACTTCAGGATCCGGAAATACAACAAATCCTAAATATAATGCTAGGATCTTATACTATAGGATAGTGTCCTACTGGATACTCACCGGGATTTTTACGAAAGTGGCGGGACTTGAATTTTGATCAAATTCATATTAAACCATGATTTTGACAACTTATAAGATCCTGTACGATCCCGCAATATCTTGTGCGATCCTGAGTACGATTGTGGATAGGATCATATAGGATTTGTGGTAGAGTCTTGTATATTCTTTAACCATTGGTAAATAGCTGAGTTGAACATCACGAACAAAGAAAACGTTAATTTGACTGTTACTTGCGAGGAGCTGAATATTTCATTGACGTTACATATGGATCAATGTGAGTACATGGAAAATAAAAGAGAAACTATTACATATTAGAATCGTAGCCCTGAATAATAACATTATATTTTACTAGCTGAATGTGAGAAGTGGCATAGCTGTTCCGACCAGATGCAATATGTTTTCAGGTAAATTTGGAGCTTCTACTTGCGTGAGAAACTACTTGCGCATTCCATTGCATATGCTCTTGAAAATTTTGTAGATCAGAGCTAACAGCTGTTCATCATTCATTCCTTGAAAACGAGTTGGAATCATGTCAATTGTTGTTGGAGGAGGAGCCGGATAATAAATGTGAGCTTGAAAGTATACTACCAGTCCAGCTATGAAACTACAGAACTACAGAAGGAAGCCTAAACTATTTTTTATACAGGATAATTTTATCGGTGCTATCAGTAAACTGTTTTCCTCGGAATGTTCAGTAAAGGCCATCTCAGTATTAATCCAGTATTGCTGCAGGAGGAAATTGGAGTACCCAGAGAAAGCCTGCTCTAATTGGTAGAGTAAAACTAGAAGCATAATTCTCGTATGACTAAGGCAATTTTTTAGCAAATCAACCCCTGTTAAAACATTTTCAGATGTGTGAGTTGTGAGCAAATATGTTAATACTTTGTATCTTTTATATTGTTAGGGACAATCCTCACTATAGTTTTGCTAATGAGAGCCATAAATCCAATGCAGTATGCAGAGGATGTAGAACAACATCTGAAAAGACTTTGTGAAATAGATTATTACAGAAAGGAGTATTATAAAGATTTAGGTAAGACTCGATCAATCTCGAACCCTGAGCCTTGCCAACCTCGTTCCCAGGGTATTTAGGAAATATTTCGCTCCCCAAGAGCAAATACCCTGGGAACGAGGTTGGAGCCTTGCAGGATTCGAGATTGAGACCAGGGATGCCGGAAGATCGATAATAGCGGGTGCAGATATTCATATATTCCTGTTCTGCCCAATTAATTTCTTTTGAAATCGATTGTTTTTACAGTCTGTGAACACGAATATATGAATATCTGCACCCGCTATTATCGATCTTCCGGCATCCCTGATTGAGACTCGATATTTGAATTTCACATGTGAAGTTGCTTAATATCCTAGAAGGGCCTTCGCTCACTAACTTCTTCCATAAGGAATGTTGAGAGGGTGGGATGGAATAAACCCCAACCAGACACAAGTCATAAGTTGGCTGCCAGAGACGCCCTTAGAAAGATCAGGTTGAGCTGCGTGCTTCGTAATTCAGCTTAGCTCTCAGCTGCAAGTAAGGATGATTCACGCCACGCCCCCACTTACTTACTTTCTTCTATTTTCTTCAGACAGTAAATATAAACTTGAGAACAGCATAGAAAGACATTTTATGCAATTCAAAGATAATCAAGTATGTTAAAATATGAATATTGCACATCAATATTTTCAAATTACCGATTTCAATTTACGAAGCTGCTGCATGCTGATATCTCTGTTCTGTTTCGCAGAGTGAATGTTCAAGAGCAATTCAATTGATAAATATGGTGGGTTTAATTTCGTGCACATGGTAGAACAGGAATTTAGTTCGTGTAAAACTATTTCAAACTTTGTAAATATGCGTTTTTATGTGGTTTTAGTAGGATAAATATCGTTCTAAATAAGCAACGTAGGGCGCTGAAGAAGGGCGCTGCTTGCTTGCTCACACCAAGCATTTGTTGTTTTTCCTAGAATTTATCTTGTCTCTACCACATGGAACAACTTCTGTTGATGACAGACATTAACTTATCTCAGAACAGACTACGTTATTTGGATGACTGTAACATGCTGCAGTGCGCAAGAAAAATATGCGTCGATAATAACAGACTGGATTCCATAGCAAGACAAGGAACTTTGAACCTACCATGTTTGGAGGAATTATCATTAAATAATAACAGTATCCTTTTGAATATTTCATTTGGGAAACGCCCCTCAAATGGTCCCCCCTAAAATGAATTATGACATATGACAGAAATTTAAGGCCCATTTCCACTCAAGAAAATTTCCACGGACAGAAAATTTTCAGAAAGTATCATTGTTAAAAGTTGAAAATTTTTCAACTTCAAAATTTTTTCCGACGGAAAATTTGTGCCGGCCAATCACATTTGCAAAATTTTCTTTCTGCGGAAATTTCTTCCTGAGTGGAAATTCATGGGCCTTTACTCTTTACGACTTTAGAAAGATTATTTGACTATAATGAAGGGCAAACCATAGGCGTAGACTTGCTGTCTTGATGACTTCTCTATTTAAAGTTTGTTCGTTCACTGCAACCAGGTATATTAATCATGCTTTCGCTCGCTACTCTGGTTTAAATAAATGTTTACAAAGCCCAGTCGAATTGTAATCGCAAGCGAGCGACGCTCAAAAAGAAAACGGACTTTGTGAAACCTACTCTAGGCAAACCGTAGATGGATCTAAGTAAAAACTAAAAAGACAATGTAACGTAATCTTTCCATAACATATTTGTTTTACCAGATATCAGCGACATTTCATGCTTACAGGCATTACAAGACTGCAAGAAACTCAGAGAACTAAATCTAAAAGATAATCCTGTAGAAAATTTAGCAAACTGGCGCCAGGACCTAAAAGCGATACTTCCACGGTTGCAAAAGTTAAATGGTGAAATTCTCTAGCCATGAGTAAAGAAATTTCTAAGACTAAGTTAATACAGTAGTAATTAATATAATTTCAATGCGCAAATTCTAATTTGCGCGTTTCAATTCACTCCAGTCTAGTCCTACATCAGACATACATGCCCAACCAGGCTTTTAGCCAGAGCGGTAACCTGATACGTGGCCCTTGGATAAAAAATGGATGCCCTTGGACACCCAAAATTCTGGGAGAAAAGGAAAAATATTCTCAATGATTTCCCTAAATATAGTAATACATCTGAAACGAAATAGCTTTAATTTTCAATATTATCACACACTCGACATATCAATTTGATGGTGTACTTACTTGGTTGATAGTTTACAAGCATTTGTGTAATTCTTATGTTATAAAAATAATTCTTTTGGATAAATATGTTATCATGTTAATTGGCTGAATAGAACTGCTGAGTGGACATGAACTAGTATCTTGAATACAAGCCTGGTAATGTGCACCTCTTAAACCTGTACCCACTTAAGGTGGCTCAATATAGGTTTTTTAAAAATGGAAAATTTACGATGGAGATCTATATTATAAATTTTCCGTTTTTTAAAAAAACTGTCGTCATTGAAACACCAGTTAGGTACAAATAAACTATAAACTATTGACTTATTGCTCCCTGGCACCCAATTGACATGTGCACTCAAGCATATTCCAATGTATAAATATTGTGAAAATGAGCTGATAATCATCATAATCGGCTATCGTTCATATTCGACGAGAGTGAGTACATACACAAGGTCTGAATTCACAGACTTTGCTTTTCGGATATTTTCAATATTTTTCTATTTTGTTTTTGTTTTTATCTTCGCTTTTTCGGCCGGTTATTTTTTCAAAAATATACTGATATTTTTAACCATTTTAAATTTTAAAAATTCATTTGCTAACCTGTAAACAATTTTTGGGAGTTTTTTCATTGTGTTTTTAATCCTGTAAAGGCTATAAAAAGCGAACAACTTGCCGTTTTCTCGTTCGCAAAACGTCGGAAATTGTTTGAGCCGCCATTTTGTTTTTCTCTACTAACAGGATATGAGCTAATATCCTGCCAGTAGAGAACCAATCAGATTGCAGAATACCTCATATCCAGACCTTGTGTTATGTTGTGTATATAATAATACTGGATAGTTAGTTACATGAATTCATTTAATATGTAATATCAATAATGGCAATGAATAATAACAGTGAGTATATGCATTTTCTACTGCTTCTACACTTCGTACTATTGTCCAGAATTTATTTATAGACTGCCGGACAAGTCATCAATTTGTACAACTTGATGGCAACTTTATGTTAGAAGCTGGTAACAGGCATTTTCTTATAGTTTAAGCCTTGGTGAACAAGACTGTGTGTGTTACCACTTCTGATTTTTGCTTTATAGCCAAAAATTTGAGAATTTTTAAATTTTGCCTATTAAATTACTATGATGGCAAAAAATGTAAGATTTCATGTTCTCTTATACGAAAAATAAACTATACCACTAGAAAGAGCGTAAAAAACTGTATATAAGACAATTAAGTGAGTTCTACGTTTTTCCAATCCTATTTCGAGTTTTTAATGTTAAAAAATGCAGAAATGACCAAATTAATGATAATTAGTAACCATTTTGCCAACTTTAACCGTCTTTAATTCAAAATCGGCTTGAAAATCGCACTAGTCGCTTAAGTTGTCTTATATATAGTTTTTTACGCTCTTTCTTAGTGGTTTAGTTTATTTTTCGTATAAGAGAACACGAAATTTTACATTTTTTCCGATCATAGTAATTTAATAGGCAAAATTTTAAAATTCTCAAATTTTTGGCTATAAAGCAAAAATCAGAAGTGGTAACACACACAGTCTTATTCACCAAGGCTTGAACTATAAGAAAATGCCTGTTACCAGCTTCTAACATAAAGTTGCCATCAAACTCTCTTTAGAGGCACTTTTTGCCACCAGTTGGCCGGCCGACTATTACAAAGGTTTTTGCAAAGGTTTTTATTCTAATAACGGTTCATCTTTTTGCAAATCTTTTGACGGCCAGTTCTCTTAATGAGGGTAAATGCTCAATTTCAATTTGATTCACATTCACAACTTCCCTCAAGCGTTTCTCAATTTCATCTGTATTTTCACCCAGCACCACATAAGCATTCTTCAATGTTTGTAAGAGTGGTACCAGATAAATACTGGATATATCATCTTCTATCAATTCCAGTGAGGCGTTACTATATTTCACTACTTCGTCATAACTCTTCAAAGACGTGTAACATTCAATGATACTACACAAAGTTTCAATAACCTCATTGGTTGAATCGAGAGCCAACTTTTGTTGCAAGTGAAGACCATTTAGTAAAAAATTCAGGGCCTGTTCAAACATACCACCACAAATATACTGGCAACCTTGTTGTAGGGACTCAATATAAAAAAACTTTTTGAAAATATCTGAGTTTCTTATGTCTTCATTTTCATGACTGTCTTGAATGAAATTTTGCAAAAGTCTCTTTCGCTCGCTGATCACAGAATCCTTTAGGTTTCCGGTGATTTTCTTTTCTGGAAATTTAATTGTTTCCATGAAATCTGGGAATGATTTCTTCAGTTCTTTGTAAAGTTTGAGAAATTCAGAATATCTGCGTTCAATGATGGCCTTGTCGCTGTCGAGCCCTGGAGTTCTTGTCACAACCAGTGTATAGAGCTATATAGCAGAATATGGAAAAACAACTCACTTTATAGTTCTTGTCATTGTGTTCTCTTTGCTATTTGACACTTATAGTGAGTTGCCTGTTTTGCTAGGATAGGACTGTAGGTCATTACTGGTAGTGCATTTATGTTCAATACGTCCAAATTGACAAGAAAATTGTCTGGTGTTATATTGACCATAACAAATTAAACTGCATTGGGGAACATTGCTTGTTACAGGCAGATGGCATGGTTTACACATTAACCCCCAGTGAGTGGCAGCACTCTCCTCTCGACAAGCTAAATTATCTGATGTTAGAGTAAAATAACAACGTAGGGCAATGCCACTAAAAGGGTAATTAAACCCTACAATTGGTCCACAAATTTTGCCAATTAACCCATTGAGTTGCATTGCATCCTGATGCACTCTACTTTAGTATTTTACTCTGTCTAACACCAGACGATTTTACTTGTCAAGGGGAGAGCGTTGGTGCTTAATGGGTTAACTGGCCTATCTGCCCATGTGTCTAGTTAACCCATTGAGTTGCATTGCACCCTGATGCACCCTACTTTAGTATTTTACTCTGTCTAATGCCAGACGATTTTACTCGTCAAGGGGAGAGCGCTGGTGCTTAATGGGTTAACAAAATGTGAATTTTGAAAGGTGGAAATTGTTTGCACCCTTGAATGTTTATATTAAATTGGGTTATATTTCAAAGAATGTTCAGCCATTTTCTTGTAGCCTGGGTATGTTAGATAAATTGTATAACCAACAACAGCCAAAAGGATTTTTTGCACATAATTTATCATGCATAATTTATTGCACAGTTAATTAAGGGGCATTAGTTGGTTAAATTTTAAAAAAATGAAAGTATACAACAGTTACTTACAACATGTTTGCGGCGACCAGTTATCCTTGTGTCAAGAATATCGAAGTTCACTTTAACTGTTTTCTGTTTAATAATCGAGATGCTTAGTCCACGTGATATGCTGTTGCTCATTGAGGAAATTGATTGCAATTTATCATAACTGTCATCTGAACCATCGTCATCACCAGATGCATTGTCAACACTGTTTGTCCTCTCTATTAGAGAAAATTAAGATTAATTTTTCTGAGCAACAGGAATTCTTGAAATTCAGGCAGTTAAATTAGAGTCAGATAGCCATCATAGAATTTAGACAGCTATCTGATCTTAGCTAGAATTATTCCGACATCCATCTTAGAAATCAGATAGGCATCGCCATCTTTGAATCAGTCGTCCATCTTAGAAATCAGATGGTCATTTTAGAATTCAGATGGTCATCTTATAGCTTCTATTCAGATTAATTACATCACTAGATAGCTTAGACAGGATGAAGGAAGCATTAGGGGCTTAAAAAGCTTTAATAAGCCAAAACTGGATGACACCAGGAAGTAATAATTTTGTTTATACAATCATATTGTCAAATTATGTGGATGTAAATATAACTTGACAACATGTAAAATGTAATCTGTTTTAGGAGAATAACTGTTAACAGAGAAGGGTAAATCCCCTAGGGCTATTTGATAGGGTAAAGATATTGTCTATACCATTGTTCATTGATCGAAATGTTGATTATAATTATACAATTTGCCTAATACAATTTAATACAACATACCTTTTCCATTTGTATATAAACTGTTCATGTTTTCTTCTGTTGCTAACGACAGAACTCCACTTAGACTAAAAGCATGTCCGTCTTCGTCTGCCAAACTTTGTTCATCTGGTTCTAGCTCGCTGGATTTCAACTTTGACAACTTGCTTAAACGTTTATTGGCCATTTCCCAACGGAACGGAAATATTACACAATATGTTATTATAAAAGTCACACTCGAGATCACCCCATTTTTACAGTATCACCGATTATTGAGCGATTATTAATAAATCCACGCAAGATCATTGATCGTTTGCAAAAGCTTGACAATGTATCACAGAAATAAATCATTAGTCATTATTTTGGACTCTCTACTCATTTATCAAATATTTCCGAGACTTCCAAAACCAAAAATTTTGTTTTCATACAAAAATATTAAATGTCATTGAGATTCGGATATCAGATATCGACCCGATTCCTCGGGTGAGATGCCTGCGGAGGAGGCTAATATCGACGGATGTTCAAACATGGTTGTGGGTTTGGTGTGTGCATTTTTTGTGACTTTTATGGATATACTGTAACTTCCTTCTGGTCAAGTAGTATTTTCCAAATTCCATGTTATGTAATATTGACAAATTCTTAACCCGACTTGGCACAACTCCGCACTACATGGAAAACTTGCCGGTTCGCATTTATTTCACCCATTCCCTAGGGTTACTAACCGTTTATCATCCCAATTCCCAACCAAAATCCGGCAACATCTGCCAAACTGGGCTGAATGGCTGATCGATATTGAGTAACCCGTTGCAACCTCAGAAGTCCATAGAATTAGTAATTTAACTTATCTGTTGGTAGCTGTACTGCCTAGGACAGCAGGAACTTGAAGAAAAATGCAATCCAGTTGCATGCAAAGCTACTACAAAGCTATACAGTATACACATTAATTCGTTTTGGCCTGTTTTCGTCTTGTCAGTTCAGATAATTAGAACATTGTTCTCTATTCTCTTGTGAACGGGGAACAATACGAAAAGTCGAAAACGCTACGAAAACGGATAGCGAGGTATTACAGTTGTTAACAACGTCTGCGCAGGAGGCTAGGGTATGGTACGATTCATCGTGCTGTGCCCACCCTTAACCTGCGAACGGGCATGCTCAAAATCGTGCCAAGAAATTATTCCTCCACAGTCCTTCCATTTCACTCGGCCCAATGAAAATTAACGTTCGCGCAATGATCCATGGGAATGCTCGAAAATGAGCGTCGTGCGTGTGACACGAACTGCGACTGCCTGACGCGAACGTGACACCACGCTAAATCATTCAAGATGAAGGTATTTGTTTCAGTTCACTGACTCACGGCATGAACGAAAGAATAGTATGTGCAGTTTTAATGTGTATAGTACGTGCAATGTTTGACGTCGCATGAGAGAGATAACTCGTCACCAACGTCACGAAAGATATTTATACCCTTGCGTAGGCCCTTTCTCGTACGTATTTTCTTGTATTTAACTTAAAAGTGGGATTGTCTGCGGATCATCCTGGGTTCTGTTGTCAAGGTGATATGGCGTAGGTGACCTTGCTACATACAAAGGTTACTTTGTGATGGACCACACTCAAAGCCCACTAATTTTTACCCGTTTTGCGAGTTTTTTCTCATGAATAGCTTACGGCTAAGCAGTTATTTTCGCTCCTGTTTGTACTAATTTAAAAGTTCTGGTGGCCAAACAAAACAATGTTAAGTTTGGAAAACCAAGCGACGACCTTTGTCCCTTCGTGGAGTTACTGGATAACTATATGGATATAATGTGACCAATCAGCGACTAGGCCTAGGCCGTCCGTGGTTTTGGGGCAGGCCCATGACCATATTTGGCTTTGTTTTGATGGGCAACTGACAGGATGTCAACAAAACCCTTGTCAGAACGAAAATTTTTGTGTATTGTCACCGACCCAAGTATAACGAAACGTTATAAGTAGAAATCTTAAACTTTTTATTGAAATATCTTAGCATAGTGAAACCTAATTTATTCTAGAAGACAACTGTATAATTTAAGAGGAAAGCAAAGATATATTTTGACGAGAAACAGAGCTTATCGACAACAGACGGCGAACAGAGTTTTTAAATATATTCTTCAAAGGAAAGATTTTGGCGCCTATATAATAACAGACTGGACTAGTGGACTTCGTCGTGCATAAATTTGGTAAGGATATGTGTATAAAAAAGAACATAAAGTGTGCTGTGCTATGCTGCAGAAATACTGTTCAGTTTATAAATATGCCTTGTGGTATATCGTTGCTACCTCTTGCAGATATTGCGTCAGTCATTAGCAATGTGATTTTTTCTTTTCAGACCGATAATTCGAATTTCGTAGCGAAAAGAAGAGATGTTTTCAACGTTGAGTAGCTATATTTGGTCAAGTGGTTCTGAGGACCAAACAGTGCCAGATATAAGCGAAGATATTTTGCTAGAACAACGAGGCGAAGACGAGTGGATTTTAGTTGATTTCGTGAACGAGAAGACGAAGACTCGGTCAGGTATGACGGCGAGGACACGCCAAGAAATTTACTCATGCAATGTTTAAGATGCCCAAAACCCTTCCCATTTATTTAACTTTTTAAAAATAAGGCTTTACATGTAATTTTTAGGCAATTTCTGTTTAGTATAGGAAACGTATTGGCTGTAGTATAGCGAAAGTACTCATGATGTTTTTCCGTTTGACAGATGAAATTGAAACGGTGCAACGTAAACAAACCCCAGAGCCTGTCCCACAAAGCATCGATATTTTAGAAGAAAGTTGGTATGTTACACCACCTTCGTGTTTTAATGCGAGCCAAGGAGACTCGCTAAGCTTGCAAACAAGCCCTTTGGAGAATTTGCTCATAGAACACCCTAGTATGTCTGTATATGGAGGCCCAGCTGAAGGTTGGTTAGCTGTGGAGCAAAGCCCTGCTGAGGAAACCCCTCAAGACGAAGAACCGAGTGAGACAGCGGTTGAAACACGACCTCATACGCACCGAAGAGCTGTAAGAACGGTGGATAAAGCCGAGGAACTATCAAGACGGGTGCAGAAAAACGTTTTAGATCAAACTAAGAAGCAATATCGAAAGAAAAAACTACAAACGCAAAACCAAACGCACGTACGCGTAACTCGTTCGCGTCGTAAACAAAAAAAACTTGACCGAAAACAGAGCAAGCATAGTACCGTCTACAGCAACCGCGGTTGCTAAAATAAACTTAGCGGTTATAACTTTTTGGGTTTTTTCCACCGGTAGTTTTGGCTTGTACTTTTAAACCACAAGCATTATTAATTTAGTTTGCATATTGGAGTATTGTATTTAAGTTTTAAGTTTGGGGGTTCGTGGGCTTTCCCTGAGTGTATTATATATATATATTATTGTAGAATTTTGTATATTACATGTGTAGACAATTATTTATAAAACATAACAAAAAATAATGTATTCTATTATCATGCACTTCATTGCACAAAATCGTTCGGATGCAATATAAATAAAATTCTTTTTAATAATAAAATGCAAATTGTTTAATTGTGGTATTTTTAGTCTCCGAGTTACAATAACCCGGCATGTACTGTACGTTACTTCTGAAAACTGTACATACTGTGTTTATATATGGCAGAAAACCTATAGAAGCATTAAATTCACTATGCATACATATCCTCAGTATAAAGCTTGTCAATTATTACATTCTTCAGGGTGCTCATTATGCAAATTGGCTGTTAGAATTCTAATGAGAACGCATACTAATTAGCGCCCTTGTAATTTCTGTGTAGTTGCAAGATGCAAGAGCCAATAGAATTACTGTTCTTGTACCGAAAGCGTGATATATGAGCTTTTGTGGACTTTCCAGGCTGCATATTGGGCTACATTTGGAAAGTTATTACTGATAGGTGTAAATGCATTTCACAGTTGTAAAAGATAACAGTCTGTAATTACTTTTCAGTATGACTTCAAATAATCACAGCGTGTTCCCGATAAGATGAACGCTTTAATTAAACATTTTGAATAGTTTCTCAGCTGAGAGTCGGAACCTTTCTATAAATACAAATTCCTTTTCTGAGTTTACTCTGTTATGATTTCCATGATATTAGATAACAGCTAGATTACTGGGGGCAGTGGAGTAGAGGTAGTATTCTACCAGAACTCAATTTGTATCTGAACCGCCCAATACAAGATTAAAAAACTTCGATTCGTGCCCTCCCAATGAATAGCGTTCACTCGAAACGTCAAAGTGATTTTGATTTTTCAAATTGATCCCTGGTTACGAGGTTGATTTTCAGGTACTATAGACACATCCTCACCCCCAGACTCATGCTAAGTTGCTCTTCGCAGCCAATCTCGCAGCTTGAGGTAACCAGACTGTTTTTGCAGCAGGGGATCAGGCACTAACATGAATAGAAACTTCTATTCTACGTCCTCCACCGGAGAAAAGTTTTAACTTTTCGCGGCGAATGTTGTCGTTAACCGGTCACATGTTTTTTTTGCGTCGTATCACACGAAATCACCCTATCATGACCTTGTGATATTTCCCGTCTTATATAAATAAGGATACAAATTAACAACTGCATTAATATAATTTTCGATTTTGTACTCATCATACCAACAGAGAGGTTCAGATTTCGCTACCACTACCTCTCACTGGCTTTAATAGTACCTATCTGACTGGTTAATCGGATATATCAAATGCATCTGATTGGTTAATCGGATATATCAAATGCATCTGATTGGTTAATGGTCCTCAAGGTTAGCGGTAACGGAAATCAAATCTGAACCTCTCTGTAGTTATACCTACCTAAAACTAAGACTAAATTAATTACATTTACATTTAGAATGGAGTAATGCACTCATGTAGCAGATTGCTGTCAACTATTCTGTATTTATTTGATGGTAACAAATATAGGAGAGAAAGTTAGTTTTCTTGCTCTTACAGATGTCCACAATTGTGAATATATACTGCTGAACCTGAAATCCACTAATATTTAAACTCTTAACCTTTCAATTTTGGCCATAAAAGATTTCACCCTAGATAAATCCACTGGCCCACTCCAATGACCGCCTTCCTTAAAATAAGACCCAATGATTAATCCCGAAGCCTGGATGTACTGGTTCACATTCTCTGAAGTGACTCCAGACCCAATGAGAACTGGCAAATCCACGGATTTCTTCACCTCAAGCATGTCGTGGTGGTTTGCAGGGTCTCCTGTTGCCGTTCCAGTAATGATGACGCCATCGGAAAGAAAAAATTCTGCAGCTTTGGCGGTTTCGAGCAAATTCACATCAGATGTAATAGCATGGGAACTGAGAATGGAAAAACGGAAAGCTTTGATATACACACGCGTAAAAATCTCACGGTTTGTCAACAAGATGAGTTTGCACTGCTTGTCCCCAGTTGTTGACAAGTTTGGAACAAGTTGTTTTCATCCTGTAACAAGGTTGATGAGGCCAACATACTCCCAAGAAGTTGTTACAACAACACGTAACAAGTCTGCACGTAACAGGTTGTTACAACTCACAAGCTAATGACCACGGGCTCGTATAGCAACTTCTAAAGAACAGCCTGTATTAGTCTTGTTGAAACAATATGCAACAAGCCTGTTACCGCCATCAACCGTGTAACAAGGTGATAACAACTTATTTCAGACTTGTCAAAACAACTGCGAACAAGCAGTTCGACCACATCCTGATAGAACAATTCTTGTATCAACTTGTTTGCCGTATCTGACTTGTGGTTGAATTTACATGGAAGTAATTTTTGCTAAGTATTGGATCACCAGACAAACTATGAAACAATGCTACAAAAATATACAACTCGAACCGGTTGTTCAAAGCACCCGCTGTTTCAGTTTGTGAATTTCTGAACGTCCGTTTATCTTAAAGCGTTACAAAATAAAACTTGTTGATCTAGACAAAATATGTCCAAGTTCATAAACAAACTGTTGGAAAATTTGATTTGAAGATGGAGTAGGAATAAGCTAACCGGCTTTCGAACAGCTTGTTTAAATTCATGAAAAATAAAAATTCTTCGAAACGTCGAGAAGAATTCTTTTATATATTTCAAATTGAGTGTCTGTCGCGAACTTTCAAAACTGTTATGTTCCGCCGCGGCCGGCGCTTTAGTTGCGGTGAGACGGTATGATAACATTGTTTCCGACCGATGTTTCCTGAAGGTGTCCAAACCAATAAACATTTGTCAGAAACATTTCCCCATACATTAAATTACCTCTGAGTAAATTCCTCAATATTTAATAGACCAAATAAGCTCTGGTAAAACGAGGATTAGAGTTGATGAGAGTTGGCAAGCGAGATGCAAACGCATGAGACTTTTCTCAACTCTCATGCCCCAGTCAAACGAGAACAAGAGTTGCATGAGAGTTGACTGGATATTACCGCGCGCAGCAAAACCTCTCTTCACCTCCCACCAAAATTTGAACCAGTTCAAAGTTGACGAGAGCCGCGATGAGAGGTCAAAGTCAAGCGAGAGTTGGAACTTAATGCTTTTCCTTTTTTGTTAATCTAGAACTTAAACTGTCCCGTAACAATGCGTGACTTGGCGCCAACTCCCATCAATTCTTGTTTGACTGGGGTTTTAATATCAGGCCTGTATCGACTTGTGTGTTATTACGTCTGTAGGATAAAACAACTTGTTTCTTCATTCTAACCTGTGTTTTTTCTTGATATCAGTAAAAACCAACACATTCTCAGCACAAATGCTTTTTCTATATCTCAACAGTTCTCCAGCACACGAATTCATGAGGCCTTCATCTGCCACATGCGAGAACACGAAACCTTCTGCACGAATGAAATCCAGGCCAGACGCTTTCGCAACGGCCAATGCTTGTTTATTGGCGCTTGCTAGTATTTGTACACCACAGGGAATGTTTGGAACTGTTCGTTTTACTTCGTAACAAACGGCCGTCATCGTGGCCGTGATTTCTGGACCAACGTTTTGATTGAGGTATGGAGTATCATGCATGTTTTCTATCATAATGCCATCCTACTGATCAATAAGTATATACAGCATTATGGAGAGTTATATGATAGAATTGCATGACTTGTATGTATGTGAGAGATTTGGATAATAGATATACCACAAGGTTGAAATGCAGTAGAAAAGAGGACCTCATAAGGACGGAGATAGGAATGTCGAGATGGATCCGAGGGCTTTATCTGAAGGGCAAGATAAGGAATGAAGATGTGAGGTGGTAGACAATGCAGAGAAGGTGAACGAAGGCATGAGGCTGAGATGGTCTAGACATATACAAAGAGACAAAGGAAAGCCAGTTGGAGACATTATGGAATGAAGAGATCAGAAGATGTGGTTGGTAGACATGGCAGAGAAGGTGAGCAAAGTGAGGCTGAGAACCACATATACAAAGAGACAAAGGAAAGCCAGTTGGAGACATTATGGAATGAAGAGATCAGACGGTGTGGGTCGTAGACATTGCAGAGAAGGTGAACGAAGGCATAAGACTGAGATGGTCTAGAAATATACAAAGAGACAAAGGAAAGCCAGTTGTTGGAGACATTATAGAATGAAGAGATGAGAAGATATGTGGGTGGTAGACATGGCAGAGAAGGAGAGCAAAGCAAGGCTAAGAACTATATATACAAAGAGACAAAGGAAAGCCAGTTGGAGACATTATGGAATGAAGAGATCAGAAGATGTGGGTCGTAGACATTGCAGAGAAGGTGAACGAAGGCATAAGACTGAGATGGTCTAGAAATATACAAAGAGACAAAGGAAAGCCAGTTGTTGGAGACATTATAGAATGAAGAGATGAGAAGATATGTGGGTGGTAGACATGGCAGAGAAGGAGAGCAAAGCAAGGCTAAGAACTATATATACAAAGAGACAAAGGAAAGCCAGTTGGAGACATTATGGAATGAAGAGATCAGAAGATGTGGGTCGTAGACATTGCAGAGAAGGTGAACGAAGGCATAAGACTGAGATGGTCTAGAAATATACAAAGAGACAAAGGAAAGCCAGTTGTTGGAGACATTATAGAATGAAGAGATGAGAAGATATGTGGGTGGTAGACATGGCAGAGAAGGAGAGCAAAGCAAGGCTAAGAACTATATATACAAAGAGACAAAGGAAAGCCAGTTGGAGACATTATGGAATGAAGAGATCAGAAGATGTGGGTCGTAGACATTGCAGAGAAGGTGAACGAAGGCATAAGACTGAGATGGTCTAGAAATATACAAAGAGACAAAGGAAAGCCAGTTGTTGGAGACATTATGGAATGAAGAGATGAGAAGATATGTGGGTGGTAGACATGGCAGAGAAGGAGAGCAAAGCAAGGCTAAGAACTACATATACAAAGAGACAAAGGAAAGCCAGTTGGAGACATTATGGAATGAAGAGATCAGAAGGTGTGGGTGGTAGACATTGCAGAGAAGGAGAGCAAAGCAAGGCTAAGAACTACATATACAAAGAGACAAAGGAAAGCCAGTTGGAGACATTATGGAATGAAGAGATCAGAAGGTGTGGGTGGTAGACATTGCAGAGAAGGTGAGCAAAGTGAGGCTGAGAACCACATATACCAAGAGACAAAGGCCAGTTAGATTGAGACATTATGGAATGAAGAGATCAAAAGATGTACAAGAAAATGTGGGGTACAAGAAAATATTGTTAAAATCTCTGCTAATCATAATGAAAACAACATCAAATAATATCCTACCACAGCAGCTTGTTTGTAAATTGAAGCTTCTTGGCATGCTTTAGCAATGATGTCACTTACAGACTGGCTGTGTTTTGGAGTTCCTATACAGAAATGGCCAATTTCTTGTTTTATTATTTAATTAACATTGGGTCATTCCAGAAAACATCCATACCTACCCTATAGAAGAAATTGAAAGCTAACCCCTCTATCCCCCTTGGATATCCTAATACACTAACTGTTATCAGAAACAAAATTTTCTCTGTAGAGGGAGTGTGGATCTTTTTTGGAAACCAATCATTCCAATTTCAAAAGTAGCCCACTGTTGAAAAGATGCATTTAAAATTTAAAATTTAAAATGAAAATTTATAAAATGAATTATAAAATTTTAAATGCTTTGCTTTTAAAGGTGATCTACAGTCCGATCTGCGCATGTGCACAAATGAGCCCACTTTTTATGATACAAACAGTTTAACTATGTTTTGAGTTCTTGAAAAGCCTGATTGTTGTTTCTTGATCATTTATTATACTCTAGAAGCTTGAAAATATAAATAATTGTCAAATAAAGCTCAATATTTTGGACACAAAAATGTAAACAAAGGCTTTGTTTACATACGGACTGTAGATCACCTTTAATAATATTTTTTTGAAATTTATGTTTGAATCAGGAGGGACTCCATTTTTATACATCTTGTAGTACTCTGCTAAATAACATTAATACAGCAATATTTTTTTCACACATAATAAAGGAAAACAATAATTGATAATTTAATAATGTAAAAATTATTAGTTTTCATCATAACATCTGAGCATGCTCCACTATAATATGCAAGCACAAAAATTGTAAAAATCTTGTTTTTTCTCCTTATTAATAATCAATGTTGTATATGTTACCCTGGTTCCAGAGGTTTATTTTTGTTATTTTCATTGCGAAGGGGAGAGGAAAAATAAACCTCTGGTTGAAAGCGGCAATTGATTCATCGAGCCGCGCCAATCAGTTTGAATTAAGGTCAGATCCTGACTCTGTCTCCTGATTGGATGATTGTATTAAAGCTCTCTGATTGATTCAAATAAAACATCCATAACCAATCAGAGAGCTTGAATACAATCATCCAATCAGGAGACAGAGTCAGGATCTGACCCTAATTTAAACTGATTGGCGCGGCTCGATGAATCAATTGCCGCTTTCAACCAGAGGTTTATTTTAAACCTCTGGAACCAGGGTATGTATATGTATGCTCCCCTTAAAAAATTTAGGATCAGAAATCACACAAAAATTTATGACCACCAGAACAATTTGTTATTAATGGGACATGCGGCCACTGAGGCGCATAATAGCTTTAGAATTGAACACCGAAGTCATTTTCTGTTGGAAATGAAGAATGATTTTATTTTAATCACGCGTTTATTGCTTCATAAATCATGCAGTAATAATAGCTGTCAGAGGAATACGTCCTAGCCAGTAGCCTATAATTATATACTTGTATTCGCGTGTGTATTCTTAATTCTTGCAGAACTTTTATATTTTTACAGTAGAAAATGACTTTTAGTAAATGTTATCTCTTCGTTATACCTGGTAAAGCATCGACGTGAATCATCCCTATAACCACAGCAGAACGCCTTCCAAATAAATGAGAAAATTTTGAAATCGCATTTCCAGTCGCCATGTTGTATTGTTGTTGCCCTTGCCACAGAAAAAATCTCACGCCTCTCGAACCCCCCCGGAAGAATAGGTTGCAGAAAACTTTGGTATTGATTGATATAGAATCTAAGCCCAAAATGTGAATAAAAATACTGTTCCGAAGTCGATATGCAATATTTTCTAGTTTATCAGCACCCGCCGACTATGTAATTACAATTCAGCAAACATATTATGAAAAAAAATGACTTTTAAAACGTGCAATATAAACAACGCATAAAATTAATTTTTGTTGACCATCTGCCGTTCCCGGGCGGAAATGCAAGGCCAGCACGTGTCACCGGAAATAAAAGTAAACAAAGCCACGACGAGAAGCGGAAATTGACGAACAATCGTGAAGCCATATGATTGGTCAACATTTCGCGGGAACAGTTTAAATTGCGGCGGGGACGAAAACCCGCGCCAAATAGCCAGAAATTTGCCGCGATTAAAAATCACCATCACACAAGACAACCGATCACCAGCTAGGGAGCTGTGTTACTTTGCTGAAAGCCTCAAAATCGAAACCTAAAGTAGTTGTGAATTTTTTTACATCGATACAACCATGAGCTGCACAACACGAAGGTAAAAAAGATATAAGCGATTAATTTGGAGTAATACTTGGAATTATTATCGCTATGAGTTTGAAGGCGATTTCTTCCCTTTGTCAAATCAATGGAGGGCTTTTGGTATTTCCTATAGGCCAATATATCACTTCGCGAAATGGATATATTTTGCCCCAGAAACGGGACAAATTAGGTATTTAGGGCGTGCAGTTACCCAAAAGGCTTTTTAATTCTTTGATTTTTATTTGCAGCGCGATTTTGAGGGCTAGAAAAAACAGCGAATCTGAACGCGAGACTCGAAACAGTCGCAAGAGGAAGGTGCGTTGCTAGCCGAATCGTCATCAACTATAAACCTACCAGATTTCGTTTTTATTTCATCCAAATTGACTAATATTATATCTTTTATAGAAATTGAACTCGAGTTGGTGTGATGCAGGTCAAAAAGATAAAAACGTAGGTTTTCTCAAGGAGTCGCGAATATAATTTGCCGCCTATTTATGCTCGCCATACCGTAATTTCCATATTATAATTATCGAAATTTCGAAACGATAATCCCTGCCCTATTTTGCTCAGATTATCATGGATAAAAATACGAAGCCTTTTAGAGGAAAATTAAGATTACAGAAATATTCATTTCTGCCTTCAGAAGCGAAAATTTGAGGTACATTTCAAGCAAAATTTCGTAAACAATTTGTGTACTTATTAAACTATGCCACCATTTTGGCTATAAACAACGATGCCAAATTGAATGGGTTTCAGCGTTCATATTTTTTCTAGCCTAGTTTTGACGCCTGTTTTGCCAGTATTTATTAAAGTGCGATTTGTATACTTGTTCAATATCGAACTAATCTTGGATTAGGGCTGAAGAGCTATAAATATTTGAAGCTTTTTGTGTGCAACTTCTGAGTGGAATTTTAATGAGTATGTACTTGTTGTGGGGTGGGTGGTCTTGTGTATAGCAAGGGTTGGTGATGTGAAGCTTGGCTACCTTGGTAAGCGAGAAAGCTCGGTAAGCAGAATGAAGGTCTGCCTGTGTTTATATGTGATAAACTTTACCCACTTGCTTCGATGGTTTGGTTGTTTGACGTTTTAACAGGTAACTCCAGAAAACATCCATACCTCTTCCACAGAGGAAATAAGAAATCTCCCTTTGGACATCTTAGTACGTTTTACTATAATCAGAAGTATATCCCCCACTTACTTTTTCTCTGTAGGGGGTGTGGGTGTATTCTGGAATCTACTGTGCGGGTGAAGGTTGATATTCGTTTTTGGAAAAAGTCTGGATATTTCCTGGAACAGAGATTGATTCACTGAGGGGTTTGTGAGAGGAGATAGGTCTTGCCAAATGTAATATAGCCAATTGGGGAGGGGCATGACTATCTGTGCAAAATTTTCTGGCATGCTTACAGAACCAGAAGAATTTTAAACTGCTTATGATTTTACCACACAAGGTGCATGAAACTGAATGAATCTGAGCACAACTAACCATACAAATTCCTGTGTAAACTAATAAAACTGGACAAGTCAAAACTTTGTCTACAGTTTAGAACTTGTCCAGTTATGTGTAAACATGAAAGCCTAGGTCTTGCTGGATGAATCCTAGGTCTAGCTGGATGAATTTCTGTTATGAAATCAGTAAACAATGCAGCCTATTCACTCGCCATTATATTTCCCAAACATCACAGAATGCGAGTGAAGGTAGTGGGAACACCGAAAGAATTCAAAAAGAAAATGACCAATCCTTAGATGTATCCCAAGTGCCTTCCATGCCAGTTGATTGTCCCCAACTGTCCTGCATGACCTTCAGTTTCCCTCGTCACTGTGACGATTCAAGGACACCGTTACCCATCCTAAACTGGGCAGATTCTGAAGATTTCTGGACATTTTTGAAAGACAAGGATCGGGAGTACCCAAAGTTTGGTCAATACATGGGTCATCATCCTTCATTACAACCCAAAATGAGAACAATTTTGTTAGACTGGTTAATTGAGGTAGGTTTGATAAGACTATTGGTAAATATTGTTTCTGATATGTCCATATATGGAATTAAACCTTCAAGTATCATTGCCCTTGACAAGTGAATTGTCTGGTGTTAGACAAAGAAAATAATAAAATGGGCAGCAATGCAGCATAATGTGCTAACCCATTGAGTGGCAGCAGAGTAAAATAATAAAACAGGGTGCCAAACTTCAACTGCAGATTTCCTCTGGCAATAATACCAGTGTAATCCAATATAAATGACATTTAGTGTGTTTAGTGTGATATAGTTACTGATTAGCTAGGAATTTGTATACCATAGTTTATAAGGAACAGACATGACCCTAATTACTTTATTAGGTCTGTGAAGTATACAGGCTCCACCGAGAAACCTTCCATCTTGCGGCAAGTTACGTAGATCGATACCTCAAGGTGAAAGGCGACATACAGAAATCAAGGTTACAGCTTGTAGGAGTTACAGCTTTGTTCATTGCTTCAAAATTAGAAGAAATATATCCACCAAAATTATCTGAATTTTCTTACGTGACTGATGGTGCTTGTACAGATGATGAAATACTTATGCAAGAACTAGTTATGTTAAAGGTTGGTATTGTAGACAGATCACCCCCTCCCCCAATAGCTAGATGGATGCCCGTTCATGCAGTCTGCCATTTTCCCAACCAAAAAAACAATTGGTTAACCATTGCTATTAATTGACATTTTGAAGGCCTCTCTTCTCACCCCCTGGAAAACTGTTTGCCCTGACTGCCCTTGTTCCCAGCTGCAAGCAAACTGAGTAATAATCCTAAGTGACAGGGCCGTGGTATACCAATAATGAGTACAGGTGAAGACCAAAATATTGGAGAATATTAGAACTACTGTAGTTTTCTTTTGTGTTCTTGAGGCAAAAATTATTGAATTGAACACCAGTTGCTATTTAGGCAACATGATATACCCAAGCCCAGACACACCTAAGTAATGTGGATTATCCTATTTATTTTGAATTATAGGCATTAGACTGGAAGCTAACTCCACTTACAATAAATACTTGGCTAAGAATCTATCTACAACTTCGCAGTTACAAACAAGATGAAAAAGCTGCATTATTTCTGACACCAGTTTTCTCAGGAAAGGACCTTGTCCAAGCTGCAAAGGTTTGTTCACATTTGGATGGGCCTACACTCTACATTCATCTTTGAAAACAACCACAGTTTGAATATTGCAATTTCTTACTTTAAATTATCCTAGTCATTTAATTTCTAATACCATCTATGCTTTACCCCTCATCCTAACCTTATTACTATCATAAAAGAAACTGTAGGTACCATGGTTATTGCGACGTCATCTTGGGACATTTATATATTTTTTTCATTAGCTTCTTGACTTGTGTGTGCTGGATTTGGAATCATTAGACTTTCCCAACAGAATTTTAGCAGCAGCAGCTTTGCACCATACAGTATCTACCGATATTACTAAAGTAACAGGTATCTATTTTACTTCAAGAAATACTGACACAGTATATTATTTATGCCAAACATATACTGTACCATAGTGCAAAGTATTTACCTTGCCCAGACTAAGTTTGTGTGAAGCAATATACTTTCAATTGCCCATTGAGAGTACAAGGCTCATTGCTTAATGAATTGTTTGGCATTAAGTGGAATAAAATGGTACAAGTCCATTCTGTTGATATGTTATACTTGTTGTTTTTTTCTCTAGATATTGCTTGGCCAGATTTGTTTCCATGCATTCAGTGGATGAAACCATTCGCAGCTGCCGTGCAAGAACAAGGAACTGTCAACATCAGATTATTTGAAAAGGTCTGTTATTAACAAGTGTAGACAATTGTTAATGATGAACCAAAACAAACTTGTTCTCAAGATATGCTATTTGTAATTTCTTGTAGGTCCCACCAGAAGATTGCCCAAATGTTCAAACCCACACAAACAGTTTGAATTTACTGGTATGTTAATAATTATAAGAAGTTTGGGGTAGCTCTTAGTAACTACTGTGATCTCTTGCTATATGGTCATTGGTCAGACACTGCACCAGAGTCACAGGGCTGTAGGTTTGATTCCTCGACAGAGGCCTTAAAGGTTGCATTTGTTGCAGGTTACAAGTGTAGGTCTTACCTGTCTCAATCACCTTTTCTTGGGGGGGGCTATGTAAGCAAATAGACACCCTTCCCCTAATATCTGTGTCTACCAATACATAACTAAAATTGCCTTTCTTCACAGGCTGAAGCTGTAGCACATAAGAATGAGTATGTTCCTGCACCATTATCAAGGCGAAGCCCACCATCACCAGCTTTTGGGGTCCTAACTCCACCTAGCAGTACGAAGAAGGGCAAAACATCCCGCTAGTCTACCACATACCTGTATCAGGTCATACAATAGTGGAAACGGCAAAGTGATGTCCATTCTGACATTCAACGACTAACTGGAGATCTACACAAAGCAACTTTTTCGTATGGTATGACTGCAGGATATTGATGCAGTATGTCGAGTATTCACAAAAGTTGCTTTCAGTGGAAAACAGGCTTTTAAACCATACAATGAACATCTAATATATGTGCAATCAAAGAACAATGATTTGAACGTTGGTTGAAATTTTCTCCTGTAGTTTGCAAAGCAATGGTTTTTACCACTTCTAGTAAATTAATATTTGAATTTATATGTAATTATTGATAGTTATTGTATATGTTTTTATATGTATTAGTAATTAAATTAAACCTTTAATAAAATTGAAATTTTTAATGAAAGCCTAAGCATCGTTACTATGTTTCTGAATAAATGAGATTTCGCTAGGCTCGATTTATAATAGAAGACTGTTGATAATTTGTACCAAAATAAACTATTAGGGAGGAGGACAAATGAACAAGTGTGACACCCAAGACTCACTTCTTCGCAATGTTAAGATGCTTTGCAGCTTCATTAAAACTTAACTTGCTCAAGCTGTCCTTGTGTTCTTGCAGAAACTTCTTAACTTTATTTGGTTTCACTCTTGCATAATCCCGCAATGACCACCCGATGGCTTTGCGAATAAAGAACTCTTGCTCGTGACACCTTGCTAAGCAAAACTGAAACAATGTATCTTCATCTGTGCTTTCCTTGCAGCAAAGTTGATGCAGAATTGCTGTCCGTCTCATCCACATGTCGTCAGAGGATATCCACTCCAGCATAACCGGTTTACCCTTGGTTGGGTGTGTCTGTACCAGATACCCAACAAGTTTATATGCCACCATATCGACTGTATCCCACCAAGATTTAGAAGTTACCAACATCTTGAAAAACTCGATATTTTCTTCAAAATCAGCCTGGTTTTCGCACAGTATTTTTCTATGTTTTACGAGAAATTCCATAGCAATATACTGTAATTCTCTTTGAGGTTTTCCCCACAACATTTGGGCAAATTCTCTAACATCTTTTGCCAAAAGGCCATTATCTTTGCCTGCCAATATTTCTTTCATAATCCCTCGTCTAATAGGACTCTTTAGACCATAAAATTGAAACTTGTCTCTCATATATCTCTTCATTGCACCAGCATCGGTTGCATTCCCTTTGCTGTGCAGGGCCTTCTCTAATTGTGTTATAATTTGCACACTATTACCTGTACGTTGCTTTTTAGATGGTCTATCATTGTCCCCTTGTATTTTCCTTTTTTGGCGAGTATCCATAGCCGAAGAGATGGAGAAATGTGCCTAGAAATTTCACGATTTCCAACCGTGTGGTTATTTAATTTAATTTAAATATTCAATTGCAACAACTAATCATAAATTAACATAATTACTGTATATTATGTTAATTTATGGGGAGATATTGAATTTTGACTAATGTGTTTTGCACAAGGTACAGTTTACAATTACAGTACAAACACACCACCCTTTCTAATTTCGATTTTGTGTAGAGTCTGTTGTCTTGTGCGGTATTTTGTACTGTATTAGAATTACTTTGATAGTTATTAATTTTTAAATGATACAAGCTGGCCAGTTCAGATGTTGGCCACCTCATGAAAGTTCGTGAGGTAGTCAACCCGGTCTGGCCGCCTGGGTTCAAGATCCATATGCAAGAGTGTATTGCGATACTGTCTGTCCATATTACATGTGTTGTTTGTCGGTTGCTTTCAAAAAAGATAACGGTTAACAAGAAATTAAGAGAGGACGTTGGACCAAATGGAAGAGACATTAATGCAATATGGGAATGAATTAGAGAATGAATGGGACACTCTTTTTTCTTTTCTTGAAAGAAAACATTCAAAGGAACCGAATATTTGACATTTGCCTAGAATGAGAATACTTACTGTATATTTAATCTCGAATATCTGAAAATGGACATAAATAGCTGACATATATATTACAGGAAAGATAATAGATAGATGATTGATTGACCAATCACGGAATATATAGTCCTAGCCTCCTCCGCAGGCATCGCCTTTAGATTAGCAGTGAGCCCGCCAAAATCCTGCCCGCTGCAAATCAGGCCCCCCATAAAATTGAGGGCCTGCCACGCAGTCTAGATTAGCAGGCACAATTTGGTTGCAGGCAAAACATTTTTTTAAACTCAAGCAACGCAGGTGAACTAAAAGATGCCTGTCGAAGTCAAGAGGCTAGAATCGTCCCACATTTTCTTGGGAAAACCACATGGTCAAGTATACGTACTTACTGGGTACACACACGTAAAAACGCACAAGTTGTTACAGGTCTGCAAACAAGTTGTTACAAATCTGTTCACAAGCTGTCAACAAGTTGTGTTCGCACTGCTTGTTCCCAGTTGTTGTAACAAGTTTGGAACAAGTTGTTACCAACTTGTGACAAGCTTGATGGCATTATCAGACTTGTTACAAGGTTGTTCTAACAAGTCTGATACAGTCATGATATAACAAGAATGTTACAAAGTTGACGACACAAGGTTGTAACAATATTGTTATATCATGACTGCATCGGTCTTGTTGGAACAACCTTGCAACAAATCTGATAATATCAACAAGGTTGTTTCAAGTTGTTAACAGCTTGTTCCAAACTTGTTGACAACTTGTGACAAGCAGTGCGAACACAACTTGTTGACGGCTTGTTAGCAGATTTGCTACAAGATGTGAGATTTTTGCGTGTGTATGTGTCACAGGCTATGCAATACTATGCACAAACTTTTTTATCAGTCAGGCGATGCCTGTTGCCTTAGTGATTTCAACAACCAACGATTTCACTGCGTTCGTATCCTCAGAACCGTTGTCAACCTTGGTGATTTGCATCATAGCATCAAGCAACGCATCGCCACGTTCCTTAAGCGCAGCGGCATGCCACGTACTTGATGTAACCAAACGCTTAATGATGCGCAAAATTTGTTTCTGCTTTCTGGGGTCAGAAGCCAACAATGCCCCAGCAAAACAAGCGATGTTTTCAACGCTCATCGCATCCTCATAAGTGCCGCCGAATAGCTCTACGACTTGGTATAAACAACGTAATGACCACTCCTGAATGTCAGGGTCATAATGACAGAGGAATTGAACAAGAACACCGGTTAGTTCTACTAAAGGTTTACCTTCCAATAAAATCTTCTCGGCTTTTTCAGTTAAAACGGCCCCGTTGCCTCCTGATTTAGCTTGAAATGCTTCACGCACGACCTATATAAAGTTAATTGAAACTAAACTTCGTTGACATTGACTATTTGATGAGGGAATTAACACCACCATGCATCCCCCTTTTCCAAAGCTAGGAAGGTGCATGCGCCCTTCCCCCAGTAAATTCATCCGTGTGGTAAATGACCGTAAATCACAACCTCATTCCCAGGGCTTTTCCCTTTTTGTCATTGGGAAAAGCCCTGGGAACGAGGTTGCATAAATCATCAACGAAGTCTATCAATGATGTTCATTGATACTAGACAGTATTGGTTCAACTTACAATTACTATCACGCAACAATGACTATGGTAATTGGCTATAACAACTGTTGTCCTTGACTATGTTGACTATAGTCCTTGACTATGATGACTATGGTCCTTGACTATGATGACTATAGTCCTTGACTATGATGACTATAGTCCTTGACCCATAATGACTATAGTCCTTGACTATGATGACTATAGTCCTTGACTATGATGACTATAGTCCTTGACCCATAATGACTATAGTCCTTGACTATGATGACTATAGTTCATGATTATGATGACTATAGTCCTTGGGTTTGGTGACTATAGTCCTTGACTATGACTGCAATTCTTGACTGGGTAAGTGGTTTATATAAATGCATACCTTTGATGAATACTTCATAATGCCATGTACGGTATCAAGTAAGGGAAGAATCACTTCGGAGAAATTACGCTCATCCTTCTGGTTGATTAAGGTGGCTCCGTTTACAAACAGCGTGGTCACATGGTCTATGAGCCCTTGCTCATACAATGGCCATAAATCAGCGGTCGACGACACAAGACAATCCAATAGACTAATGATGGTTTGAACAGCTGAGCCCGAAAGATCGCCGTCATGTCGTTCCAGGATTTCGCCTAGGATCCCGACGATTCCTTTGTCGATGACGATTTCGGAAAATGACGGAGAGTGTTCGAGGAATGCGAGCAATAGTTTCAAGGCGTACGACGGCAAAGGATCTTGATCTTGTAGGATCGTCTCATATCGAGGTAGAAGCTCAGAGGTGATTAACTACAATAATAAGTGCCTTGTTTAAAATCAACGCTTTGTATTACACACAATTAACATTACGTCCAAATTACATACTTACACCGAAATGACAAGGCCTAGTACGTCAATTTGGCTATAGAGCCTCTCATTCATGCATGTGACATTGGTTAAAGCATGACGTCTCAATTGCTAAAACGAGGCTCTAAATGTGGTCAGCAAGAAAATTAATCTACACTGTATTACTGAACTCCACTTATACATGCATGTATGAACAAGGGGAGCGAACTTACGTTTCACAAGAAAATCCAAACACAACAGAACAATGTCAAGTAGGGGAAGATACAAACAAACCATGATGTATCATTACCTTGGATAACTGCATCGCAGATTCCTTGCCTTGATCATCATCCAGTGTTTCACTATCTAGAAACATGGCTGCCATGTCTGCAAACATCTTGAAACAAAACATACGTACATCTCCTTCCTTACTGGATGTCAACACGGCAAGATGAGGCATGACACTTTCGATAACCAAACCACGATGCTGCAATAGCAGCGAGGGATGTTGAGCAATTGCCTCGATAATGGATAGCACTATGTTAGTAAGATTGTCTGTTGTGGTCTGCCTTGCCGTGGTACCAATACTGGTGGTACCTCTATCCATGGACGCCACGTGCGCGACTAGCTGACCCAAGTTTTGAACAAAAGATTCATCAACCACCCTCTCTCTAAATACATTGCTGGTAACAAGATGCAAGACTATTGATAACGGCGGGATACACGACTTCAACTCCTTGCTTTGCGCTGCAGATGGATGCTTTCTGCCAGACACTGCTTGTAATGCGACCAAGAGATTGGTGATAACCTTCGGCACACAATGACATACGGTCTGAATACACAGATTGAGACAGTTCCTCAGATAGCCCAATAATTCGCTATCAGCCTTCACTGGGGTCTGTCGCTTCGTATCACGCTCGATGTATGTGACGAGTTTCGATTGACAACAATGGAGTAGGGCCACGTGATTTTCACGTGACACCGAGTGATTTTCACGGGAATGTTCACGTGAAACAACTCGATGTTCACGTGACACACCATGATGTTCACGTGACACACCGTGATTTTCACGTGACATAGCAGCGATCGCGACGAAGGCTTTGCTGCGGATGACAATCGAAGGGCTATCAAGAAAATGCATCATTTTATGGATGAATTCTTTATCTTCGATAAGCCGTTTCGTATGCGCACCCTTGCTCACCAATGCAGCAAGCATTGTGATGATGGCCTGTTGTACTTTGGTAACGCCGCTGACTAGGCAGTTGAGGACTGTCCGCAGGCCTGCGTTATCAACAACGTGCTGGAAGAGTGCCACAGAATGGCCAGTGAGACGACATAGTGCGGAAATAGCCGTTAACTTCTGAGAGTCGCCTGAGCAATGAGTGAATAGGTTCCACAGCATCTACGAAACATAACACAAGGAATTGAAAATTCAGCCTAATATAGTTTTACTACTATAGGCTAAGCAGGTGGATATCAACTCTTGGGCAGGACCGGCAGGTTCCACGATGGCCGGATAGGGCTATCCACCGGATAGTGATTTTTTCAAACTTTCTAAATTGTCCCTTGATTGCGGTGTAACCTACTGCAAACTTCTGGGGCAAGTTGTTCAAAGGTGGATTAGCGCTGACCCTCGGTTAAAATTTAACCCGCTGTTTTGGTTTGTGTATTTCTGCGTGTCTGATTATTTCAATCTATAGACGAGATTTCTGAAGAACATTTCCAAATTTATAAAAAACTGTCAGAAAGTTTGCGTTGAATTTTAGGTTATCCTGGGGTTAAGTTAATCGGCTTTCAAACAACTGTCCAGGCAATGCACTTCCACAAAGCTGAGAAAGATTAAAACAAAGTAATATATTAACAACAGGTAATAGTAGTAGTACCTGAGCAGTCTCAGCCGTGGCAAATTTCTCATAATGTTGAGTATCCGCAGTAACGACATTCTCTATGGTCTTTGCAGCGTAATGTTGAACAATGCTATCTTCACCTTCTCTCAGACATTTTGTGATGATCGTAAATGTAATACCTAGCCGTGGAAGTAAAATGAAACACAAGTAGATTATTTTATAGCCTGTGTCAAAGACCTTACATTTATTGTATGGTCATCAGAGACTGTCTACAATGGTAGATGGTTTAAGTTTTATTACAAACCTGGTACTTCCCAGTTTTCATTAATTCTGCTGTCACTTTCTTCCTGTGTTGCAGCGTAAAACAAGAACTCTCCAAGACAAGGCAACAGTGACTGCTTTAACTTGGAGTTTCTGAAGTTATCTCTGATAGTTTCTGACAACACCATGAAAACTTCACTCATGTTGAATGTGTCTGAAATTAGTGTTGCATTGCTTGCCAGGAAGCCCAACGCCAGACCTGATATTGAAAATAGATTAGTTGTTAGCCTAACCCATTAATCTCCTGTTAGACAAAGTAAATAACAAGGTAGGGTGCATCAGAGCACATTGCCACTTAAAGGGTTAATGAGTAATTTTCTATCTACCACCAAACAATTTTACTTGTCAAAGGGAGACCACTGAGCATTAATGGTGTTCAAGGGCAGATAAGGCCCATGCAATAGGGAAGTGTACATTTTCAGAGGTGGGGGAGGATGATGGTGCAGATGTTTTAGAAAGTGGTGAAGATATGTCAGGGATGGGCACCATCAAAGTTGATATCAAAGTTCTATAAAATCATAAGAATTTAGGTATGTATAGATCTACTAATTTTTCTAAAGGGGTGGTGAGTGAAGGAGGGTACACCCCTGTTGCAGCATAGATTGATATTGACTTTTCAAAGGGTGTTAGATTTTAGTTAACTAGATTATCAAGGGTCTCAAGCTAGAATACAACCTAATTCCCAATGCCATTACCTAATCTCGCTTTCAAGTCAGCTGATGAGGACTGTTTGATCACTTGCAACAAATCAGTAACCAATTTGGAATTAGCAACCAAATTTGCAACATCTGTATTCTGTAAAATCGATGCCAGGTACGATGCACAGTGAAGCTTACTCCTTTGGCCACCAGAATGACCAGATGTCTGTTGCGGTTGCTCAAGCAGCCTTGAAATCTCGTTGAAATACTTGGCCAGTTCATCATTGTTTGCTTTGAGAAGTTGCTCTGCAGTTAAAGTTGTTATTCCCATTGTTTTTGCTTCCCATTTCGGCACAATGATTTTCTTGATTTTCGGGTTGTCCACAATGGAAGCCACCACAAAATCTGAAGGATGGTACAATAAGTTTTCCACATCAAAACTACAGTCTTGTCCTAACAAAGCATGATTGCTGTTTTCTGGCTTAGATATAACGTTTGCACGAGAGTTCTGAAGTTTATCATCACTATTAACAGTTCCAGTAGCTTTCTGAGCATGTGCTTTTTTTCTTGGTGTGCTTGATTTCGGAGAACCTGTAACGTTACGTTTATTTTCTCGTTCTTCTTTTGTCAATTTTCGGGTTTTTGCCTGGTCTGATTGGGTGGTATGTGGACGTAACTGCTCAACTTTATAAGTCCCGTGTCTAATGTTTACACTGCTACCCTCTGGAGCAGTATCGGGTCTTTGTTTTGAAACATGTGAAGCACCTGTCATTACCGTCTGTCCTAAGTTTGATTTCTTCAAAAAACGACCATCGTCACTCGCCAGAACACTTGCTTTCTTTTGTTCCTGTTCCACCAAAACAGGTTTTTCCTGTTCTAAAACAGGTTTTTCCCGTCGTTCAATGCCTTCTTCCACATCATCCATAGAGAGCCGCAATCCACCATCCCAGAAAGGATGCCGCAGTAACTCATTCCATGTTAAACGCGAGCCTTCTTCCTTGCATAATAAGGACTGAATCAAGCTATAAAACTCATCAGAAGGTCCCAGTTCAACTCCATTAATTACTTGTAAAGGATATAACAGGTTTTGGATCGTAACCTTGTTGACTAACTCAGAAAAGGAGTCCGCCTCAAACGGTAGAGACCCTGTAAATAATTCATACAGAACACACCCAAACGACCACAACTCACTAGAAACTGAGTGTGAATATCCGTGAAGAATCTCCGGGGCCATATACATTGGTGATGGCCTTCGGGACTCCTCGTCAATGTCGTTATCACCACCAAGCTCATTAATTTCATCTTCATCCTCAACTCTTGCAAGAGAAAAATTACTGAGCTTAACTTTCCCGTATCCATCTAAAATAAGTTTAGAGCACCTCAAGTCACAATACAGTATGCCTAAACCATGCAAGTAGTGTAACCCGCTGGCTATATCCAGTCCAAAACTCCGAACAGTTGTTTCAGGAAAGCAACCATCCTGCTCCAACATAACGGATAAACTCTGGCCAGTACACAGCTCCATTATCATCCAAATATGATTCGTCGTTTCGTACCATTCATAGAAAGTCACAATATTATCGTGGGACAGTTCGTGTGTTAGTCTAACAATATTTTGGAGTTCTTTCCGTTTCGTTTTTTCGGCGCAGTGAACAGCAACGTATTCTACAGAGCCTTTCTTCCTGCCTTTATACACGACAGAATACGTTCCTTTGCCTAATTCATCGTATAAAACATAATTCTCCATCGCTCTGTTAGAAAAACTTACAAAAACAACCGTTTAATAAAAAGATTTCTGTGAAACGGTCTCCTGTCAACCGCCATGTTTGTTTTTGAAGCGATCAACATCAATAACGGCATAATAACGGCGGGAAGAAATAACATCAGTTTATGTCCGTTTTTAAAAAAACAAAACCGTTTCATTTGTTTTAATAACAGTCAACTTACTCTATCCATCCAGTACTTTGCTTTTGTTGCTTTGAGAAACAATAAAAACACTTTAAAAGTTTTGAAAAACTACAAATATCTTTTGCAATGAGAACAGATCTGGTTTAGGTCGATGTTATATTTTGACGCGATTCAACTGACTCAAAAATCGCTGGCTGCAAAAAATCTTCACATGTATAAATCGCTAAAATTCAATAAAAGAGAAAGTCATGTCTGATCTCAACGATATCTCGCGATTACAGGAAGAACAGGAAAAGGTTTGTGCTCAATAAAAATTATAAAATGAAATTTATTTTGAATTATTTAAAATCACCATAAATCTTCTGTGAAGCATTGTCTCAAGCTAGCCATTATGGAGGCAGCCCTCTCTCTATAACACCCCCCCCCCCCGGCTTTTAAGGAGTGTATTATGCCTCCTTTCAAATTTCTTTCTCATTCACTTCAAAACAAAGACATAGGTATGTACCGATTGTTGTCCTGAAATTTCACATTTGCTTTTTAATTTAGGTTACCATTAAAAATTACTGTCAGTATTTATAATAAGCCCCCCCACCACCACCACTACTGGTGTCCACACCCAGGGTAGTGGTTGTGTTGTGGATGCATGCAAACATGATATTTTATTTGCTTAGACTTTAAAGAATTGTGAGACAATGATAGAAAAATGGTAAGTCCTTGATCAATGTTTTATTGTGTACGACATCAAATTGGTGGCACGCTTAATGATCCCTTTTGACCACACCCAACATGATTCGCGTTTGATCCAATATCATTCTGGTTAAAAATAACGTTGGGCGGATTTAGCCCAGTTGACCCATTAACTCTTGATTAATTCCCCTTGACAATTAAGTAAAATCCTCTAAGGTTAACAATTTTACTCTTCAAGGGGAGTGCTGGCACTCAATGTGTTAAATGGCAATGCAGGTTGATGAATTAATTAGGGCACATGGCAGCTTAAACATATGCATTCTTTTATTGAACAGGGAAAAGTTTAAGGAAGATTATGAGGCCGTTGACAAACTGTTAAATGACCTACCTCATAAAACAACACATGATGTCATGGTAAGTGTCCTGGAAAAAATGTTCATAAAAACTCACTCAAAACACCCATAATTTATAGATATCTAAATTTCCCTATATGAATTTGTATTGTCTATTTGTAGGTTCCCATAGGCCCTCTCGCATTCATGCCAGGCCAGCTAATTCATACAAATGAAATCATGGTCCTCTTGGGAGATAATTGGTTTGCAGAAAGGTCGGCAACGCAAGCTGTGGAGATTGCAAAGCGTCGTCTTGAGAGTAAGTCAAATCTAGAACAGTCAAAATGTCCATAATCACAAAACTACTGGTTCATGAGTTTGGAATTTATTTACATAGGTGTTGAAGAATACTTGAGCAATCTCCACAAAGAACATGAAAATATACTATCGCACATGTCTTTCACCAATAATGTTGTTAACACAAGGGTAAGCTCTAAGTAATAGCAAGACACAGTCCTCAGGGGCATAGCAAAATGAATGCTGCAACTCCGAAGAATGACCTAGCTGTTGGCAAAATCAGCATGCTCATTTTGCAGCAATTTTGATAACATACCATTGACCACACCCATGTTATTGGCAGAAGTAAGGCCTGCACCCACCCACCCCAATTATGATACACTCTCCATGCCCTGGACACAGTAGTTTAATTTCAGGAAATCATGCATTTTGCATATAATGATAATTTAGGTTGCATGAAATTTCTTCATGTTGTCCATTACATTTTCCAGACCCAAAATGATTTCCAAGAAATCAAGGAAGAACTAACAGAAAAGGATAGACAAAGACAAGGTTGGGGTTCCCATAACAAATTATCTGTGCTTGGCTCAGCCTTTGTAAATAGGTCGTCCAAGCATTGGATAAATTTGGTATGGGTACCAAAAATTGAGAGTAGCGTAAACAAGGCTTCAAGGTGATAGATGGTTAACCATATTAAAATGCCAGAGTAAAATCATGGAGAACTTTGCTGCTTTATGGCATTATAGCAAATGTCACTCCTTGGAAAGTATAATGCTTTGAGGTCAGAGGGCATAAAATAAATAAGGTATGTAGTATTTAGCCTAGTAAGTGTACAACTGTTATATTACATTTTTAGATAAGAAATCAAGAAGGGTGGCTCATGCCAATGCCACAAAGCACAGTGTGAAGAAAGTAGATTTGAGAAACCATTCTTCTAGCAAACAAACTAAATCCAAAGAAGATGAAAATTTGTTTGCAAAACTGGAAGAACTTGAGAGACAAGAACAAATAAATAAGGAATTAGAAAACGAACAATACTTCGCAGACTACGACGAAAGCACGCGTGCTCTGAACAGCAGCACGGAGAACGAAACGTCCAATAATTTGCGTGCTGGAAGCAAGACAATCGCGTGCTCAAATAATTTTAGTGTGTGTAATAGTAAAGAACGTGCTCGAAAACCGTGCACAGTAAGGGAACATAACAATAGCTCGCGTGCTGAAAGTTGTAGCTTTGAGAAAGAGCGTGCAACAAATGCCCGTTCAACGCAAAGCGAGCAAAACGATGTTGGGGACGCGTGCAGTGTTGTGGAGAATTCAAATGATTTGCATAAGAAACGATTAGTGAAGAAAGTGTCATGGAAGGAAAGTATTGTTGAAGAGCAAGAAGAAGACAGAGTTGCTTGCCAGAAAGATGAGAACTTAACGATATACTTCACTCATTCTAGTGGAAAGGTAAGGTTTTATGAATGCATGGCTTAGTTTGTATATCTGATATAAAATCATGCGGATTTACATAAACTTTAAGTTCAATTTTCTCACCAAATATCATTAATTTATTTTAAATTTTTTATTTTTTTAATTGTTTCACAAGCATTTATTCAGCTCGAGTTTGTATATCCCATACAACGTGTCTGCTCATGTTGTAATAGTACAAAAACCATATAGAGAAAATTCTAATTTTAGATTACAAGTCATGAAGAAATGGAAAGTCACGAAAAAAGACAAAATATAACTTCACCAGCAGATATTCTCACACACTATCTCGAGAAAAACATGGAACAACAACATTCTCAATTGAAGAACTCCACAGATGAACAATCATCAATGTCAAAAATACCTGAACTACAACAGGGTAACTTGACCCAAAATCAAGAGCATAATACCAAAGAAGAAAAAGTGCTTCAGGTATAATAAAAGCTTCGGAGTTAACGACATTGACAAAAATGGCGAGGGGTTGAACTGGAGGAAGAAAATACTCTTTAAAATCTTCATACACAAGTAGCCCAGAAAAATCCTAAGCCCGAAGTGGGGTTTGAACCCACCATCCTTCATATTCTAGACGGATGCTCTAACATTTTTTGACTGACCCACTCTTTAGGCATTTGCTGATGTTGTTGTTGAGCATAAAGATATACCAAGTACAAGCGCTAGCATTGAAAAAGATAAGGTATATTATTTCATCCTCATTGTATTGGGTATTACGTGTGAATACGATGTGAAACCCGTGATTTTATCACTTTCTTTTTCTATAGCAACAGAAACCAGAAACAAGAAAAATATCCAAATTCAAAGCAGGAAGAATGAAAAACAATTGAATGAAGAAAAAATAACGAACTGCAATCGGAAAATATTCCACTTGTAATCAGATGTAAACATGTGCTTTATGTAAATTGTTAAGTTAATTCGCCATCTTGAATTGTCTGTGTCTGTATTCCATTTTGTGTCCAATGGCAAGCGACGAAATATATGCCATGTAAAAATCTGCTGGCTTCGAACCGACCGTTGATTCTCCTTGAGGAGTGGGGGAACTTACATTCCCCTAATGAAGGCTGTTAATCCAGCCTAATTCGAGCATATCGTGAAATATTTAAGTCAAACTTGCTGCGTTTAACAGAGGGTAACGTTTCCTAGGCGGTTTCCATTGAAATCGAGTAAATACGACATTTTCACATTTGTTGACCAAATTCTAAGACATCCTTATCCTTTAGAAAAGCTTATTGAATCATCTTCAAAGTCCTGTATACTCTCATCTATCAGTTCTTCAGGTAAAGGTCCATGATGATGGGGTAAATATGTTGGATATGGAGGTGGCTGTTTGTGACCTGCTACACCATCTTTCACTTTGACCATGCCGCCGTTCGGTCCAGGTATCTGACCATGAATATAGAGTACATTGTATTTTGTATTGATACGGTAAATCTAAAATTGAAGATAGAGAGATTTAGCTTTGACTTCCGCTACCTCTCGCTGGCTGTAGTACGCATCTGATTGGTTAATCGGATACATCGAACGCATCTGATTGGTTAATCGGACACATCAAACGCATCTGATTGGTTAATTGAATATATCAAACGCATCTGATTGGCTAAAGTGAGCGGTAGTGGAAGTCAAGTCTGAAACTCTCTGATAAAACTTGGGTACTGGTTTATTGCATACAAGGATCAATAATTTCAATTTTCTGGCCTTTGCTGTTGTATGGGGAAAATATTTGGACGAGGTTGCATTTCAATAGACCCTTTCATAAAGGACCTTCGTTTTCGCGATTGAGATATCGGCTTCAAAGCCCTTTATCTTGTTACTGACGACCTAATTATATAAAGGTCTCTTAAATGATCTAAATATAACTGAATGATTTCGTAAATGTGTCACATGTAACAAGATAAAGGACTCTAAACCAATGTATGAAATCACGAAAACAAGACACTACAACCGAGTACTTTCCGGAAGAGTGTATTTAGGGTTTTTGGTCACGGTTTTTGAAACGTTGATTTTCAACAAGATGAACGTACCTTAGCACCGTAAATTGTTCTATTCTTATTTCCCATGTGACCAGGCATCTTCTTTCCTGGCCAGATTCGACCTGGAGTCTGAAACAAATTTAAAAATGTGAAGTCAAGACTAGTTTCTCGGCCGTCCAATTAACAGTGGGGTTCACTCTGTCCTTTCCCTACCATCCACCCTTAAATCGTAAGGCGGAAGCCAAACGGCCAAGAACATATAGAGCAGGTAAAGCAAATTTTTGGGGCATCCATTAAAATAAGCGAGTCTTCAAATTGGAAGATAATGAAAAGAAAGACAATCACCCCTCCGCCTCCAGTTGCTCCCATCTTTCTGTGTGTTTTTGTCTGTCCATGAGACGCAGGTTGACCCTTCATTCCCCATCTCTTCATTACACCTTGAAATCCTTTGTCCTTCCTGTAAAAAAGAGTTGTCAATAACAATATTGACATGCAGGCCCGTAGCCACCGATGCGACATTTAAAAATTTTAGACTGGACTGATTACTGGCTAATAATCATATCTGGATATTCGCCAATAGGGAACATGAGCTGGCTTTAGACCCGTCGTGTCTCTTGTGAGACAACGTGCCCATGCACGGAGAACGCTATATGTACCTAGTACGCATTACAAAATTCTGTACGCACAAAAACAAGTAAATAAAAGCGAAAAGTATAAAAATAGGTGCATATGCGTACATGACACGGGGTTAGACAATTGTCTAGCTTTATACAAAGTAAAATATTTAATTAGAGTAAGGTGCATTTGAGTGTATTGCAGCTTAATGGTTAACAAGACACATTGGCAGATAGTTTGGTTAACCCATTACTACACAAGATTCTCCCTTGATACGTAAAATTGTCTGGCATTAGATGCATTGCAGCGACATGGTTTAAGGTGGCTCGATATAGTTATTACAAAAATCCTGCTCAAGAATCGCGAACTCAAAACCGGGCGACTATTTTTACGCGCAGGTCGCGGAAACTGATTAACAAAATCCTGACAAAATTAAAGAACTTCCAAAATAACCTGACGTGAGCAGTTGCTCGCGCCATATCACGCCATTCCGCGTGTTCTATAGCGTTTTATGTCAATTGCTGACGTCATTAGAATTTTCCATTTTAGAAAAACAATGCGCTATATCTCTTTATTTTGTCTGGTGACATATGTTCAAATTTTGCATGCTGTATTGCACCGCTAAAAACTTTTATTATACAAAAAATAAAAAAATTCTGTAATGCCAAAAAAATTTTACCGAAGAATATGACATTTTCGCATTTTCCAAAAAAATGGCATTACAGAATTTTTTTATATTTTGCTAATTGTTAGCTTTTCGTCCAAGTAAAATAATGCACGAAAAAAAATTGGGGGTCACCATGCTTTTTTTCCAACTATACGAGACGATAGGCCATTTTGGAGTGAATTTCGTACACGTATGTCGTCATAGCAACGATCTGTCTGTTACTAAAACTAATATAATTTGAAAGTAGAGTTATCAAAATATATAAAAAACCCAATATCTGCTGAATAAATCCTAAAAATACGTAGTTTGAACATGTCAAAGTGTTAAACACCTGAATTTTTGAAAACTGTATCGAGCCACCTTAACCTTTTTTTTACTATTTATCCTAACTTACGTTTTCGCTTGTACTGTAACAAATTGTCCTGGATAAAAATGTCCACTCAGAATTTCTGTTCCTAAAACCAGAAAACTATATTCTCATAATAAATAATATAGACTTAGTTGTCATATAACTGTAGTTTCCAGGATTGGGTCTGTCAAAGATTTTTGTTTGAACTATCGAGTGCCAGCACTTTGAGCCTTGACGAGTAAAATCTTGGAGGAGAATTTTGTCGTGTCGAGCGAAGGCGCTACGTCGGGAGTTTGGCAAGTAACTCCAGACGAAGGGCCTTCGCTCGAAACGTCGAAATTCTCCTTATATATTTTTCAGGTAGTTGCATCCCTACCAACGAAAGCTTGTTCATTTCATTGGCACTACCTACACTGGCACAGACAGTTCTAATATCCCTGTTGCCCTAACTAATGACTGATCTTCCCAATTTCGAATTTATTTGCCTACCTCTATTGAATATTCACCTGGTAAAAGAAGAGCGCTGGGACTGACAGAAAAACTTGAAACTTTTTTCTTAGGAAGAACGCCATATTTAACAAAACGTCCAAAATCTGTCTTGTTCACCTTAACAAACATTGGTTTTCTTTTCAATTTAATAACTTAAATTGTTCCTGTGGTGTATCATGGTGCCCGAGGATAATTTGGATTGGTCAGTCAGTGACTAAATAATTCAGATTATGCAGTAATGTACACAAAAAAGGAGATACGTAATTTATTGTCAGTATCAGGCTAGCTATCAGCCACAAAAGCACACAATCAACAGACCCTGAAATTACGTTCAAAAACTGACCAAAATGAAATTTCATCAAAGAAGTTTCAAATTTGGTTGGACATTTTTCGATTCCATTTTGTCTCCTGGAGCCCATTGGTAACCGTTATTTCAGACTCTGAAGAAAGTGTCTCAAAATTGAGGTATTTTGTCCATGGGCTAGCTCTGTGCTCTGTGCAGTAAGTGATATTTTTATGTAAATGAAATATTGCTGATTTATCCATTCTGCCAAAATTTATGATCTTGTAACAGAGGTTTACATGTAATAGGCAGTATGTTATTATAACATTTAATGACCAAGATAGAAGACAAGATGTGAAATGGTGCACCATGAGATATTCCAATTTCTGTTTCTACCTTTTCCAGATCTTTTTCATTTATGGCTCCAACTTCTAAAGCAGTTACATCATCATTTCCACCAAGTTCTCTGGATATTCTTGTTGCCAGAACTTGGCAATCTTTAATCTTTGTAATTTGAAAACAATCCCAATATTTTCTAATATTCATTATGACATTTATAAACTTATGATGGAACAGCAATCTGCTATTCTACAATTATGTGTTGGCAATGTTACTCTGAGGGCACACTGGAAAAGCTGAAAAGTTTGCTTGACAGCAGTGGAACACCAGAAACACATATTCCATAATTGTTCTAGCCACCTTCTTAACCCCATTACAAACCAGTCTTTCTAGACAACTGACACAATTTGCCCAATCCAATTTAATATCATCAATTTTCCATCTTGCTATCTACAGAGCTTTGGCAAAAATTTAACCAGAATTGAAATTTTCAAAGAACTTAATAGATTTCCAGCTACAAAAGGTGGTCCTGACTGGAAAGTTTAGAAATTGCACGGCAGAGAACATTTCGTAGTAAATATATAGAAAACATCAAAATTGTGTGCCCAATATCTCCACTGCCCAATACAAACTTTCCACACGTACTGGAAGGTGGTCATATACTGACAACCTAACCCCTCCCCCCCCCTCCCTCTCCCCAAATATTTCATGAAGTGTCCACCACAGATTCTGGGCCCTAATATCGTCTATCTAATGGTGTTCAACAAAACCCACCCAACCCATCTCCGACAACCCTGAATGAAACCACCTGATCTATATACATCACCTGTACTACAGTCACTGGAACTCTCTGACCGTTCTTCAACCATAAAGGCATCATTCCTAACTTCACTCCAATAGCCCCCACTCTCTTACACCCTTCGCTCCATGCTGCTTTTTCAGGTTCAATAACAGGTGGCTTTCTTTCTGTTTTCTCCTTTTCAACCATAAGTTCTTGGTCAACATCAAACTTAATTTCTCTGATTTGCCGCTCTTGCAAATGCTCGGGATTTTTATGATAAAATTCAAACATATTCGTAGAATTCTCTCCTTCATTTTCCTTCCTCTGTATGGAACCAGTTGTGAACAACCTTTGTCTTAAAGAAAGCGTTCTTAAAAGACATCTAGGGTGCCGAGATACACTTGAAAATAAACACGTGAAAATCACTTTGTAATCCGCCATGTTTAAAAACGCCTGGCAAAGAACTTCATGTAGTATCGCGTCATGAACAGGCACAGAACTGAAACGTTGTTTATTCAAAAAAATTGTTTTCCAATGTTATTAATTCACTCAACTATAAAAGTGATACCTTCAAATGCTAGTAACAAACATGGAAAGGCGGGATTTTCTCCCCACATCCCGGCCAGATCCGGGAAAGAGCAAAGATCCTATCAACCATGTAACAAAAACAGTACTAATTTCCTGTGTATGAAGAGGAATGATAAACCAAACAAAATCCCCTAAACACCATGAAATAATTCTTGAGCAATTCCTTCGTAATTATCAGGCCTTATCAGGATAAAAGCCCGGGTCTGTGGGGCGCTGGGGGTTACATTCCTGACTATAGGTGCATTAATATACGTCAAACTAATTCATGAACACAAATAAACATTGTTTGGCGTTTGGTATTGTTTACTATACCATATATTACATTGCTGTTTATCATTGACAGCCATTGTTCATCACTGTGTATAAATGTGTACCTAATGTTCACTATTTTTAGGCCAAACCAAAACGTTCTGTAACTTCTGTTTCAGGTAAGCCTGCCGACTCAAAATTTTTCTTCTGACCCGGGCCGGTTGTACGAAGGCCGGATAGCGGTTACCCTGGTTGCCAGAGGTTCTCGTATCTTTAGCCTTATTCCCGCTCGAAAGCGAAAGATACGAGAACCTCTGGCAACCAGGGTAGATAGCGGTATCCACTATCCACCGAAAAAAGTGATTTTTTCAACCTTCGCGGTAAAAATGCTTGAAAAGTGATAAAACTACGAATCCCTGGTTGTCCAAAGCTGGATTAGCGCAACCCTGGGTTAAAATTGTTGTTTTGGTTTCGGTGCATTTGCACTTCGGTTTGTTTCAAAACTTTGGAAAATAAAACTTCTATTGATTCAGACTTGAATTGTGGAAAACTGATTTAATGATTTAATAAGATTCGGCAACTACCTAAAAATACAACAATATAGTGCCAGGGAGTTCGCCACAGTTCCCCCAATTACGGCGATCCATTAAAATTTACATAAAAATTACGTTCAAATAATAGATTAACGAAACAGTCTAAGTAGAACAACACAATTACAAAACGGCTAAACTGACAACTAATTAACAACAGTTTAAAACACCATCAAGGGATCTATCTTCATATCGCCTGTTGGAAAGATTGCTTTGAAATTTTCACTAACCTAGGATTAAACTAACCGACTTTTGAACAACCAGCCCCAGGATTTTTTCAGCTTGTTATTTAAAATCCGAAACTCAACATTTTTTGGTTTTATATAATTTGATTAATTATTCTGTACTTTGTCGGGCATTGTTTACTGTTGCCGCTTTCTGTGTCAAAGCTATATGTTGCGGTGCAATAAAGTCTTTCATAACGACCAGTCAGCTGCATGAGATATTCGGTACTATTATAAACGTACCATCGCAAATTAAAGTAGATTGCTACCAACGAAATCGAAGATGACTACGCCTACGTCTCTCTACGTCTCCCTATGGGTGAGTATCTTCAGATATTCATACTCTTCGTCCATTTTCAAGGCCTTCTTGAGCAGAAAGCCAAATGGCCAGTGGTACTCTATGTTGTCATAAAAGGAGGTATTATTCCAACCCATTCTTTCTGCGAGAAATCTCCTCCCTACTCTGAACCGGCGTGGTTTACTTGTGAACTCTTTTTGTAGCAATCGCATAATTTCTAAGCAGCGACATTTGTGAGAGCAAGTATACGCCTTTGACACTTGTCTCCAAAGTGTTGTCGAAACGTTGTAAAACATTTTTACGCAATGGTATCGCAACTTGGCCATCTGTGGAACAATGCCAATGAATCCATCAGAATGTCGAGGATCAAACATAACAGTACGAAACGTGCATGAGAAGTCACAGCTAGCATGTGACGCAGAATGCCAGCAGCGATTATGACAACGTTTTATCTGTTTCTCGATCACGTGTCCATGAGGTAGGAAGTCGTTAATCCCTGGACATCGAAATAAATCTAAAACATTGACTTTGGACTTGTCAAGTTGTAAAAATGGCGTCAAGAAAAAATAATTGTAAACTAGATGATATTTGGCGTCGCGTTCAGGATATTTTGAAAGTGTTGTGTGAGTTGGAAGTCCTAAATCATTCCACTCCGTCGTCCACTCAACATCATGGTATAATTTTAACAAGTATAATAAGTTAATTCCGTGTCTGTTAGTGCATGAGTTGAAGGGTAAACGAGATATTGGGATAAACGTATTTTCGTGGATATAACGTAAACACTCTAAACCATTTATTGCGGCAATATGAAGTAGCGAGAAAGGTGCGTTTGTAGTATTGCACCAAAAGTCGGAGCCGGAGGGGACTTTGTATTCTTTATTGCTTGTAATGTGGTTTAATAATTTATCTAATATACGAGGTGAACATTGTCCATTAATTATTGACAGGTCAAACGCGGTCCAACCAGATCTCGTCTTCTTCCAAATATCAACACCATGATTCATAAACAAATCAATCATGTCAATGTTGTTCCCAGACGCTGCATAGTGGATTGGTAAGAGACCTTCTGCGTCATAACATTCGTCAATAAAGGGGGATTCCATCGAATAAGTGTTAACGTATCTTTCGGCTAGTGCGGAAAAATAATTGTTTCCAACACGAATGGGATCTAACAGAACTGCCATGACGTGCAAAATTGAATATTCAAAAGGGAACTCACAATTTAGTTTGACATCAAGTTCAATAACCTTAAGTAACTCAGAAATTGTGTTCATGGCCCTATATTGAGACTCATCGGAATTTTCGTGGGAAAGGCAGTATAGGTCAGCATCAATTTTAAATAAAGTATACCAGCTTAATGATAGATTGTGATAGGCCATAAGTTCAACAATTCTAACGATTGTTGACTCTAATTCGCAGTCGATGTTCAAAGTCCTAACCCGTAACTTTCTCAGACAATTTACATGCATTTCATTAGATATTGCCATTTCGCTGGAGTTAAGTAACGAATAAATTACCGTTGAGCATGGACCAAGATTTATATAGTCTATTGGTCGTTTTTGCACAAATTTCAATGCAGTGTTTCCGTTTTCGTCCTTTATCTTCCAGTCGCTTCCCTTTCGGATTAAATGCTTAACTACATCTGGTGACCTTACTAAAGCAGCATAGTGAAGTGCTGTTCTTCCATGTTTATCTTTTTTATTTATATTTTGAGGTGCTACCTTAGTTAATAACTTTATCGTCTTTAAATATTTTTTCTCGTCGACATAGTTATGGCGTGATAACTTATTTGAACATTTAAATGCGGTGCATGGCAGTTGATCATGGAACATACTGAAGGAAACACGTTAGTTAAACCTAACGTGGCCAAATGAAGCAATGTCATCATCCCATCTTCGTAAATTGTGGTAACAACCACACTTTTATTTCTTGAAAGTAGTTTGAACGTTTTTACAGAACCACAAACTGCTGAATAGCGCATCACTGTTTTACTTAGTGGACTTGTGTTTACCTCTTGATTGAGTATTGCTGTTAAATCATCTGATGATAACCCAATACAATCGCTTAGTGAAAATCGATTGGCATTCCGCTTGATTAATTCTGCCGTTATTTTTGATGTACCTTGTTTTACCGAAATATGGATAGCTTTGCTGGTATAAGAACAATAATAATGCGAACCAAAGATAATTAAGTATTGATTCCATCTGCTAATTTCACATTGTGCCTCGACATCGGCGCCTTCGTCTAAAAGCAGTGTCACCATTTTGGTGTCATTCTTTTCAACCGCACGCATTAAAGGGGTTAGCCCTGCCAAAGATTTGCATTCAAGTGTCTCTTTACCATGTGAAAGCAATATTTCTACAATTTTTAGGTTACGTCTGGACACTGCTATATTTAGTACGCTTCCACAAATTGTTTCAAAGTATTGGTGTGTAGTTAAACTCCATGATTCCAGTGAACCATCTCTAAAGTCTGGCTTGAATCCCTTGCAAGGTATACACTTGTCTCTTACTCCATTTTTGAGAAGGAATTTTAGAACGTCAGAGTGGTCAAAAAGAGCCGCTAGATGAAGAGCAAACAAATCACTAGAGGTTCTATCGGTCTTGTTTATTAAAAGTTCAGCAATCTTCAGACGACCTGCTTTAACCGCCGCATAAAGTGGTTTCCAGCCGCAGTTATCTTCTTTGTCAATATGAGCACCATTATTCATTAAGAGTTCGACGATTTTTCGATAGCCTTTGTAGGCTGCGATGAAAGTCAATGAGTGGCGGTCATGATAACTGTGATCGATGACGAGCGAAAATACTGAACAGCCATCATCTAATGTTGTGACGTAATTCACATCAGCACCATTTTTTATGAACAATTTTAAATTATCAAAGTTCCCTGCTATTGTTGCATAGTACGCGGGGGTATAATATAGATCTAAAATGTCAACTGATTTAAACTGTTGAATGAAAACTTCAAGAACTTTAGTACTTTCCCTGTTTCGTGCGAGGTAATGTAAAATACATTTACCGTGTCGATCAGTTACATTGCTGTTTAAACCTTTAAGTTTGCTGACATACTTATGTTTGTTTAACATTTCTCCATTTAGTACATGCATAGACAACTCATATAATCCTTCTACAGTCAGATCATTTCCCTCTTCGTTGTAATGGTCAAAGAAATAGTTAGCTATGTATTGATGACCCCTTGACTTTTTAATAGAGAACCCATCGATAGGTGTATCATGATCCGTCAACCATTCGGCGAAAGACTGATGAAAAATGCGAACAGTGCCGTTGTCCAAACGTAGGTACATATAAAGTTTGTCAGACACGTCATCCAACTCGTGGTCGTCTATTTGGGCGTTTAAGGTTAAAATTCCTCTCAGAAGTTGAATTGTTGGAGGCAAATTTGAAGCGAGAAGAACTTCGAAAAATTTTGCGAAACGTTTCAATTCGTTTTTTCCAAACCGTACTCTAAAGGATCGCGCGTACACGTATGACATGTTTGAAGGGAAAGAAGATGTCAAGTCTACTTTGTCAGAATCTTTCAAAAAGTCCTCCAAAAGCATTTTGATGAAAAGAAAATTTCCGTCGGTTCTGTTTAATATAGTTTCGATAGATTCATTGAGCTTTTCCTTCAATGACTCCCCATATCGAGAAATAATTTCTTGTGCGAAAGAACGAATATCGTCTAAGTTTTCTTTACTTGTTGCATTAATGGCTACGGTTTTAACTCCAATTTCTGAAATCTTACCAGTGATGGTTGTTTCGTTTCTAGAAGTCAGAAGGAGCTTGACCCAGCTTGACAGGCAAGGCTTTAGACTGTGTAAAATGTCAGTGATCACATTGGAACTTCCTTTCTTTTCACGGCATTCGTCTAACGCATCAATAAGAATAAATTTCTTGGTTTCCGATGGTATGTTTAGTGCGAGCAGCGGTTCAAATACTGTCACTTTGGCACATTCAATAGGATCATTCATGCATTTGTCTAGTATATTTTGAATATCTTTGTTTTGGATTAACTTTTTATATCCTGAAACGTTTTGGGACAGTTGCTCCACTAAACTTTTTACGAACGTTTCTCCATTTTCTATCATGTTCGCAGGAATAAAAAGCAATGATATTTTCATGAATGAAACTGCTGGAGTTATTTCGCGAATTTAGCAGCTGTTTCATTATAGTTGTTTTACCACTTCCTGGATCACCGACAAGGAGAACCCCGTTAATATTGTCGTTCTTTTGGAAGAGATATTCCAGTTGTCTGAATAACCAATGTCGACCAACAAATACAGGATTTGAAGTGTTCTTCCATGTTGTTACTACAAAAAATAAGTAACACAATATATGAATACCGACCATACATGGCTCTCTCCTCCGCCGTAGTTTTTGTTAGACTTTTCCATGATTTTCGACTTTTGCGGAGAAAGAGTGTTGTCGAGTGTGCTGTATTCCTTGAACGCATTGAGAACTTCGTTGGTGCAGAAAGTGGTCACGAAAAACAGGGCTAAAATGCCGAAAATAAATTTAGTAATTTATGGTTGAATTTTTTGTAATATATTCTAATATTCATGAGAAAAAACCCAACACTGCAACTTGTCAACATATAAAAGTTGACTGAAGCGAAATCGGAAATCGCATCAGATTCAGCGAACCAGCTGGCTGACACTCTACCAGGCTGATTCTGGAAAGTACGTCATCTTGGCTATAGAGCCTCGTTTACGTGTCATTCGTGATTGAGACATTATCTTTGCAATCTCAGGATATTGATTTGAAGTATATAAAGGTGGATCATTAAAAACAACAGCGTCCTACAAACATCTGACCCATGTTTGACACTTTGCAAAAATTCTGATGATGCTTATAAGAAAGCAAGTAATCGCTTACGATTGTTATCAAAACTGCGTGATCATGTAACTACTGATGTTGCGTACAAGATATATCAAATGAATAAATGATGATTGTCCCAATTTTAACGTACAGTGGAATAATAAAGCTTTTGTTCACAAGAACGCAGCTGAAGAAATTGGGTTGCATTGAAAGGCGTGCGAAAGAAATAATTGGATCTGAAATTTAATTAGCCTATATTCCGCCTCTGGATAAGCTGATGAAAAGGAAAGCCATGCGTGATTGTGAGAAAATGCTTAGTGAATGAGATATGTTGTAACTTTTCTGGCTATTTTCAAGTTAATAATCATTATAAAGATACAAGAAATACGGCTATCTTAGTAAAGCTGCCACAAGTAAAACTTGAGCTTAAACGGGCAAGCTTTTCGATTTGCGGCGTGCCAAGATTTATAATGAGCTCCTATACTTGAAATAAGGGGCGAGAAGGATTTTAAAACTTTTAGCCTAATGAATTGGACAAACATTTTTAGTTAGTTCTTAGAGACTAGTGTAGTACAGCTTTGACCTTTGTAGTAGTTTTTAATATAGAGATCTAATGTAGATATTTGCATGAGTTTAATGATTTTTAGATAGTTAGTATAAAGAGGACACATATTGATAACAGTAGATTTTTCTGAAATGTCTATCCTCTGTAAAAATTCTTAAATAATTAAATAAATAAGTAGGCCAAACGAGACTCAATAGCCAAAGTGACGTACTTCCCGGAAAGGTTTATATTATTGACCTATCGAGTCAACTGCATGGGAAGAGCACAAGTTAAATCCATATTTCAACAAACGAGATATTGATCGATGATGATGATAATGACGAAGCTTTATTTATTCAGGGTAACTCCGTCAGCATAATGCTGTTCTCCCTGGAAGCCCTGATATTCTTGCGATGGCAACAAGTTTTTGTTATATTCGGAATAAACAAGGTATTGGGTTGTTGGGCATGATAAGTGATACAGCTAAATTACCGAGACATTAATATTAAATCAAGGGTCGACGAAGGTGTTTGTTATATTCGGAATAAACAAGGTATTGGGTTATTGGGCAAGATAAGTGACACAGCTAAATTACCGAGACATTATTATTAAATCAAGGGTCGACGAAGAGCCGTTACTCCTACATAGCGCTCTTAGGATATAGGTATTTTTCATGATATGAACGCGATGATCAAGGCTGGCTCGGCTTCCTGGGCCGAATTTAATGTTTTGTTTACGCGAATATAATGTTGTAAGTGATAATTTCTTGACAGATTTCGATCTTAAAAAGTTTAGTTCGGGGTTGATCCCAACCCACCCTACCCACGTTCCCTGCGTGTGTGTTTGTGGGGGGTGGGTGGGACTGGAGTACCCAGACACGACTTTGCTTTGAAGACGGCGCCACCGAAGCCTTGTCTTTGTTTTCTTATGCATTTCAAACGTGTTTTTTCTTTTGTGTGTCAGTGGTTTTATGTCTTACCTGAATCATTCTTCACTGGTGTATTTCCATTTGGAAGTCTAGTATAAATGACACCAAGGAATGCTATAATGAGCAGAAGTAGAACAATTATAACCACTGCTGTAATAGCTACAAACCAATTGAATCTCTTCTTTTCACCTCGCATGACTTCGATCCTTTCCGTTAGCTCAGCTACGTTGCGATTGGGAAAGACAGACTCTCGCAGTTCACTAATATAATCAATATAGCTTGTGCTGTAATGGAGAGCAGTGAATGCCATCTTCGCGTACTTGATGTAGTCATCAAATTTGTTTCTGTCAAGAACGTTGGTCTTGCAGGAATGAAGAATTTCATTTCTTAAGAGTCGTAGTTGATCAATAACCAAAGCAAACGTTTCATCTTCATCTCCAGTTGAGCTGATCACTGTAGAACGAAATGAACCTACCGGTGGTACGAAGCCCATTAAATACCGGTCTCGTAATTTTACGTTTTTCATCTTTGTAGGGCAATATACTTCAAAGGTTTTCGAGAAAATCGTGGCTTGAAATAATGCAGTGCAGTCCCACTCCTCGTAAGATTTACCTGTTGGTATTTTGGGCGTATGTCCCTCCTGCGCACTAAGCTGATTACGCACAGTCACTGAATCATCCCAAAGTTGAGCTGGATGTTTTTTGTCCCACATCCTCTTGAATACATGGCGCAAGACTTCGGGAAATTCATCGACAACAATTGAAGCAAATTTTAAAAAGTTCAATTGGGATCGTTCATAGAGTGGTGGTGTAGCAGGCATCTTCAGAAGTAAGAATATCTACAAGATATAAAAATAGATACGCACCACGTACATGAGGCTAGCCTATTTTTAATTTTGACTACTGGCATTCCTGGCCTGGTAAAGTTTGGCTAAAATAAAACTATACAAGCATCTACATCTACATATAATTAAGTCGGTAAAATCTACAAATGATATCACACGCACGCAGATCAAATATATTTGTTACAATGCCATCGTTGATAAACTTTGATAGCAATGGTGCAGGCAATAATAGCATTATTGGCCAACATTATGAAAACAGAATTTGTTTCCTAAAACTGCCAGTGTGTCTTACAGTATTAACCCTTTAAGCTCAATGCACTCAAATGCACCCGATTTTATTATTTTACTCTGTCTAAAACTAGACTATTTTTCTCGTTAAGGGGGGATTCTTTCGCATTAATGGGGTTAAATATTGACAAAATATCATCGACAGTGCAGCTACCAGGACTACCAGCAATACAACACGGCTGCCAGCTGAGGCCTGGGGACAACACAAACAATATGACACTGTTAAACTGACATGGCTACCAGCAGCACGAACTGACATGGATACCAGCAGTACGACACAAATACCATGCAATTGTCGTCATATCTATAGTTCGAACCATCTCAAAAAAAGACAAAAAGAGATGGGAAATTTTTGTATTTTCCGGTAGTTGAATCTTCTGCAGTGTTGCAGTTTCAAGCGTGTCTACGCGCTCCTGCAGCTGTGTTATATCGATGAGAAATCACGTTGTCAGTGCTGCATATATTACGTACAGTACACTAAAGATATTAGCCTTGGCTGGTGACCTTATTATATCTTCGAATCCCAAATTATTTTCTTTGTCGGATTCTTTTTCCTCATTTATTTACCATTTATATAGCTAGCTGCACTTATTACTGCACTTATCAGACGTACTGCGATGATTTTGCTAAAGTTTGACAAAACTACATCTTTTCCCCATATATTTTCTCTCGCTTTATAATATAGTTCTAGAACCAGTCTGGCAAAATCCGGGCAAGCTGGATACTGAAAAATACTGACCAATCCGGAGATACTTGTTCCGGCTGTCAGTCAGCAAATGCTAAATATAATTAGGTGACCAAGCAACTCGGAATTGTCTAAAAATCGAATTAAGGAAAATCTCTTTTTTATATTACCCCACCCCTAGATTTTCAAATCATTAGTTAGACTAGTTACATAAATCCAACTATGCCACAGTCAATCTGAGTTAATCAAAGACAGATTCTAGAAAGATTCTTTTTGTCTTTTGATATGCTATATTGATAAAATACAATGCCACATTGCAACGACAAACTTTATCTTTCATCTGTGTCTAAGTTTAATTCATATTTTAACTTTTCACGATCAAAATGTCATTACTTGCCCAATTTGTATTGTTGGTTACGTTTCAAAACTGTAGGTTGGTTGTATTTATGACATATTTGTAAGAAAAATCGAGATTTGTATTTATATGCAATGCACAACACCTACCTACGGTGACCAATTCCAAATAATCGGAGTCACTTAAAATCCTCCAAATTGCTCTTTTGTCAAGCGAACAACAGCAGTACAGAACAACTAGAACGAGTGACCAGTGTTGCCAATGGTAGTTGACAAAGTTGTGGAACACAAGGTGGAACAAAAGAAAAAAGAAAAATTTTGTTGTGGCTTTTACTGTGGGCTGGCGCTGCTTCATAAAAGTAAGCATTGATCAACATTCCAGCACTGTCTTTGCTGTGCATTTGTATGGAAATTCGTCGTATGACACCCATGGTGAAACTACAAATGGTCGCAATTTACAATCAATCAACCCTGTCATCCATTGATTTCGGAAGCTGCAAGAAGTTTGAACTATACATTTTGAATAAAAATAGTTACGACACGTCGTCGGAGATTCAAACACCATCGAACTTCTTCTAAATCGATATTGTTTAAAAGTTCAACCGTTTATAAGCAATTATTTTACAACTTTTGTGCGTTAGGTGTGGTTTAGGCAAGGTTTTGCAGTATGGTTTCGTCAAAGTTTCTAACCCGTTATGTTGTGTTGTGGCAGTTGCGCGCAGTGGTGCTCTACTTTATTATTTTATTCTATTTTCACTAGTCAAGGCCAGTCAAGGGAAAAGCGCTGCAGTTCAATGGGTTAACCATCGTTACGTTCGAACTTCGAATCCCAAAGTTCACACGAAAATTTTAATTATTTTGTTTGTCGGATTCGTTTTTCTCGTTTATGTATCCGGTCAGTAATCCGAGTCACTACCGGTAAAATTCTGCAAATTGCTCTTTGGTGCCACGCGAACTATGCGGGATAACAGGGGATAAACCGCAAGCACAGACTGGGTCTCCTGTGGATAAACCCGAGGATAAAACCTCAGCTTTGTGACTCAAAAACGTAGATTTAATTAAATCTATGTCTTATTTTAGTCCGTGACTCCATATGGTATATCTTGGGTTTCAAGGTGTTTTCCGTTTTTGTTTATACTTTATTTTCTTACATTGTCGCTTTTACAGAAACTTCACTGATCCTCCCAGATCCCTCAATCAAAAGACAATTAAGTCGTAACCATAGTAACAATGGCAGTATGTTTATTTATTTTCTGATATGCAAAGTACTACAAATATTTGACAGTAAAACTGTTTAGCAGTGAAAATTGGACAAATTACACCCCAGCGAGAAAACATTATGATAGTTTTGCTTATTCAAAGAACGTGCAAAGTGGACAGGTGTTATAAACAGACCGATTTTCGTCCAAATTAATTTTGGATTTGAGCAGTTGGCTTCTCGAGCCACTTGTGTATTAAATTTGTTGCTACTAGTTCTATTTGATCTTTGGATTAATTAGCTAAGACGGCGCGTCGAAGGGAATCATGAATATTAGATGACATTTTCAACAAACACAGATACAGTTCGCAACTTTTGTGACACTCTAGCAGGAAAGGTTTTGACGGACGCATTGGTCAATTTCAAGAACGAATCAAATAATAATATTTTGTCAGGTAAGAATGAATGCAAAAAACAAAGGTGTAATATATAGTAGGCAAAGCACAAGAGACTGAGAGAGGTTAAGAGTCCTTCGTTGACGGTAGAAATTTGTATATTTAAAATAGAAATAGGGTAAATTTTGGTCAATTTACCAAGTTTTAACGTTTGAGTTTTGGTCGTTTAGACTGTGGCCTTCCTTGTGCCATTTTGCGTCATGCTCAACTATTTGCGAGACCGTGGACAACCGTGGTATAGGACAACAAGTATCCAAAGGGATAGAAATTTAAACACTTTTGTTGTTTTTGTATTGAGATTTTGTGCAACATTTTTTAATATCAAATGCATAACTATTATGTAAGTTTGGAACGTAAATTGTTGACAATGATTTAGTTTTTTGTGAAAATTTTTTAATACTATTGGGTTTAGTTTTGTCTTGTTGCTAAGCAACAGTGGCGTTGGTGTTACACATGGATGCAGTTGTAGTACATGCATGGAAATGTTATATCTTGTTAGCACATTATTGACATGTTGTGTAACATTTATGTATTTCATATTGTGAGAATTGTGAACTTGTTATAATCTTCTTATTGATGGCACCAATTGCCTCACAACGATTGGTAGCCTGACCGACCGAGAATTAGAGAATAACATAATCAAAACCTTCTGATGCTTGTTGCAAACATTGAAGATCAACATAAGCATATACAATGTTTTTATGTGGGAGCGATTGACCCAAGCTGTTTATGCATTATGCAAATAACACTAAATTAAACTTGTTAGAACTCTAAATTGTCAATCTACAAAATAACCAATTCATATTTCAGCCTAGGTTCCCTTATTTCTGACTTGAGTAATGACTCTTTTTCCCCCTTCTAACAGACAAAGTGAGAACAATGAATGGTAGAATCCTAACAAACCATGTTGACCATCTTGATAACTTCAAAAAACTGCAAGAAAATGACTTGATCACTTCTGAAAATGCAAAAAATTCAAGTAAGAACATTACAACTACCTTATCAAGTGAAAAAGATAACAAAAAACTGGGAACAATACAAGAAGAAGTACAAGACACCAACAACAGTGATAGCAGTGGTGATGAAGATGTGTCGTCACTCACAAGTGATACAGATAGTGACAGCGACGCAAGTCTTAGCAATAGCTCAGAGGAAGAAGTGGAGTTCTTTCCAACAAAAAAATCTAGCAAGCATAATAATATTCATAGTGAGCAACTTGGAGAAACTATACAATCACAAGATAGTGGATCACTCGAGGGCAATTCCCATGATTCAGGGACTAACTCAAAACCTTCCACATCAGGTGCTGTTGTTAATGGTGAAATTACAGAAACACATACTGAACAAAATAATTCAATTATACAAACCCCAAACAAGCTACCAAGAAAGTTAAGCCCTTTAGGTATTGAAAGCCATAGAAACAGACAAAATCAGAAAGAACAAGATCAAGTAGATGACAATTTAATGTCAAACTCTGGACTGCAATTAATGCCCAGCACCAACAACTATGGTGAACTGTCAACCAGTGGAAGTTCTGATGTTGTAATACCATCCGCACAAAATCCTCCAGATTTGATAAAAGGGAATTTGAACAGTTCTGGAACTGTTAGCGATGACTCTGATTTGAAGGACCATGCTAGGATCCTTGCTGAGCTACAGAAAATTGTGCAAGATGACGAGACGCATGATGGTGGACATGGTAATGATGGTGGCCAGAGTAAAGATGGTGCCATAGATGAGGGTGGAAGTACTGAAAGTGTAGTAAAAGATTCTTCACAGAGTAATGAGTTGAAGGGTAGGAATGATGGTGGTTCCAATCAGGTGAATACCAGTACTGGTGGTTATGGTACACAGAATGGTGATCATAAAACTGGTGGTGCCAAGACTAATACTGATGGTACCAAAAGTGGTTTCCATAACAACAAACATCATGATGGTAAAAGTACCACCATAGCTGGAAATGACCATCAAAATAAACTTGGTCAGGATGGTACCATAAATGGTTATGAAGATGGTGCTAAGTTGCAAACCAGTACTCATGGTAATGGTATGAGTCACCATGGAAACAACTCTGATAGCAAAAGTGGTGATGGTAGTATGTTACAGGGCAGAGGTGGTACCACATCTAAGACTGACCAAGAAAAATTTGACGATGGTCAATTTGATGGTAGTTATGTTGGTAGCAAAAATGACACCACGCAAGGACCACGAACAAACATGAAAAGCAAAGGCATCAAAACTCGTGCGGATACATCGAACAGTATACATTCAACTCCAAATTCATCCAACACAAGTCTTCAAACACCAACCACCCAACCAACGAACTTTTCAAACCAAGACCACAGCCTTGAAAATCTCGAAAGAAAACTCTCCAATCTCCAGATTTCAAACACCGAGCAAACTGCAGAAATCCGACGTTTGAAAGCACTAAACCAAACACTAAAGGCGAAATTTGAAAAGTTGGAACAGTCGTCAGGCTATCATCAAAACATTGAAGAAAAAATGTTGCAACGAAACCAAGAATTGGAGAAGCATTTACTGGGCATGCTCAAGTCGCAAGAAATTATTTTTGATATGAAAGAAAATTTGAAAGCAGCTTCGGCAGATAATGAGAAGTTGACGAAAGATTATAAAGAAGCGGTGAAGGCTTTGGAAGCCGTTGATAAACTGGTAGGTGCGCCTATAATTATTTTCGCGCCTCTTACCATAAGAAGGTGCGAATCATGCAAGGCTACGAAACATGCGAGTCAAACACAAATGAAAGTTTGAAAAAAATAAAAAGTAGGTCTATATATTGCTGCCTTCATGCTATAAAGATTTACGAATCACGAGACTTCATAAAAGACTTCAAAATATATTCATGATATTATGCGCTGTGTAGTAGATTAGAAAGGGAATCCATAGTAACTGAACCCAGTTTTAGACCGAATTGGGGAAACGTAATTGGGGAAACGTAATTGGAGAAACGTATTTTCGTTGTAACACGTTCGTCACTTCACAATGCTTCGGAAAACAAACTAAACGCCTCCGAAATTTTTGAAACAACTTTTTAGACTTTCAAAACAACTACAGTCAGGTAGCTTGTTGTAAAAAAAACTACCCCAAGCTGGACCCACGTTCTTTTTTTAACGTGTATACCTCGACCTGTTTGAAAGTAATGTCTGACAACATGTGGCATTTGCGTATTTAGTTTGGTCAAAAAGATGCTTTAGTGAAGAAATGGAAAGAAGCCACAGAAGAATCAAGACAGTTGGTGGAGTTGTTAAAAAAGCATAATGCAGGTACTGTATGTCTTGCAGATTAATTACTTAACTGTTTCGGGTTCCGACAGACAATTAGTCCAATTATACATGCAAATCCCAAGAAATTTCTGACGAGAAACTTGTTCAAATATTTCCAGAGGTGGGAGATTTGGAAACGGTGGACAAACTTAAAGAACAGATAGTACAGCTGAAAGACAAAGTTTCGAAAGGAGAAGAAAGGAACAGAAGAGTTGACGTTAAGAATGAAGAGTTGAACCAGCAATCAAGAATATGGAAAGAGAAATATGAACGAGAAAATGAACACGCAATAAAACTGAATTTTCAACTGCAGGAGGTTACGAAAGAATTGAAGAATCACCAGTAAGTTATTGATAAGTTGAAATGTTTATTTATTTATTCATTTACAAGTTTTGGCACAAGTGGCAAGGTAGACCCATAGAGGTTGAGTTCCATTACGGGGTCCCTAAAAGTTGGTCTCTTTCTACTTGATATCCCCAGACAAGCTAGGACCACCGTTGAGGAAATATTTGAAAATTCAATGTTTCTCCAAATGTTTCTCTGAGAGAAGATTGTTTTCAGGAAACAAATTTTTGCTGTCTTAAGGGAGAAAATATGTTTTTCAACAAACTCAGAACACATTGTTGTTGGCTTTTACTCGCCTTTACTTTTGGGAAATCTAACTAAGAAACGAAACAATGTTTCTTAGTTTCTGGGGCTTACAGGAGTAACATACTTTATCTATACAAAATTCCCACCGTGATCACAGAAACTTTGAGAGTGTAAACCAGAGCTTAATGGACAGGATCTCTGTTAATTAGATAATAAATTGAGTGCTATTATTATGAATTTAGGAAGTTGGCTGGAAAACGCGGAAGAAAGAATCAAATATTACAGCTGGAGATTACTGAACTAAAAGATACTTTGAAGGTAAACGTTCGAGTAATCAATGTAGACGGCACCTAAACTCAAACAATTATTTGATATGGATTATAATACATTTGTGCTTTTTTTATTTTAGCTTGCCAAAGAAAAACTTGCGGAAAATGAACGAAGATTGAAGGAACTGGAAAGAAAACATGCTGATACTCAAGAGGTAGTGCTGCCACAATTATTACCAATTATTACCATTACATCACCACTATCATCATCACCATCACATCTATCATCACACCACCATCATCAACACCATCACACCACTACCATCATTATATACCATTATCATTACCATCATTTTATACCATTATCATCATCAAGACAACGTCTTGATTATAGGCATTACTGGTGATTTTAATCATTTAATGGTATATTTGCATTGTTTTTAGATGTATACAAAGATTATCCACGAAAAGGAAAAACAACACAGTGTCTTAATAAAGAACTCGGAATCTTATCAAAAGGTACAGATCTAGCTCGCAATAATATATCAAGATTTTTAGTCGTACTGTTTTAATGATAATTTACGCGTACTTGAGCCCCATATAGTATGCAGCACATACTTTGGACTCGAGGTGTACTTTAACCGCATAGAGTATAACCAAAGTACATGCAGTAAAATGCATTCAGTACGAAGCTGAAAATATGAGCTCGAACAAGGAGGATAATTACATACAGTACACAAACGCATGTGTCACTTGTCATTTTCAAATTTACAGGACCTCGTGTCGAATATAGAGAATGCTGAAAACGTCAGGAAGGAGACGCATTCTTTGAAAGAAAGTATCGTTGCTCTCGAGAAAGAGAAGATAGAGGTCGCAGAGAAACTGAAAAATAATGAAAAATCTTTGGAGGAAACCTTAAACAAGAAAGCGGTGAGAATACTTTAAATAAAACTGATTATCAGCAACTTGAGAAAAGCATGAAAAGCCTTTTTTATTCAATAAAACTTTATTTAACGACGCTAGCCCAATCAGCAAAAGCTGGTTTCAATGGGGGGAGGGAGCGTCCAGACTGTACATATATAAAAACATTGACAAATGTACAAAACACATAACCACAGTAACAAACAAATAATTATTAAGGTAAATACAAGGTTGACGCAATGGACCATTTGCATTATAGACTAAATTTTTATCTAGACAAAAATTTCATCACAGCTTGAAAGAGCATCACAAAATTAGTAATATTCCAAAGTTTCGTTGCGAAACCTTGTAAAATGCGGATAATATAGCCTTGCGAAGTTTGCCGTTTTTCAGTCATTTGGTATTACGCATGGGAAATTGACAACCCAATCGGGTGTGGGGGCATCAATTTCCCGTTTGTAATACAAAATGACTGAAAATTGCAAATTTCGCAAGGCTATATTATCCGCATTTTACAACATTTCGCAACGAAACTTTAGAATATTACTAATTTTGTGATGCTCTTTCAAGCTGTGATGAAATTTTTGTCTAGATCAAAATTTAGTCTATAATGCAAATGGTCCATTAATCTGGACAGTTTATTGACTTTAACATTTTTGAAGGCAGAAATCGATACAGATCCGGAAGTTCATTCCGTTACTTCGACCCGCTGTATTTGAACTTTTCTTGAGAAATTTATTATTTCTGAGATTATATGCTGTTTGATATTGCTTCTCGAAATAAACATTTGTTTCAAATTGGTATGGTTATTAAGGATTTTATAAAGAAATCACGGTTCACCGTCAATCACTAAGCCCACTTTTCATTTTGCAGGAACTAAGCGAACAACTCGCCACACTTCAGTCTGATTTCGAAGCGTCGAAAGTAGAAGCAGTTGATAACGAGTTATACGCAGAGGAACAGACAGTGAGACTACAAGAGTTGGAGAACCAATGTAGACAACTTCAACATGTCTTGAAACAATATATACATAGTAATGGCAGCCCGAGAAATCGAAGACCAAGGTAATAATTATATATTTATTTCATATTTTATACACAATAACCAATCATATTGCTTTATTTTGGTCACATGAGAAAAAAATATTGTTGGTATGCTTTGATCTAGTCCTATAGGTGGGTTTCACTCAAGCCTTATACATAGGGAAACGCTTGGCGGTCAACTTTACACATATTGCCGCTTTATGACTTGTGGAAGCCAGTGAATTTCGTTAAATTGCTTATATTTGACACCAAACACAAGATCAATACTTATAATGAATATTTAACTCGATCCGATCAATGTGTTTCCATTGGGAGTTGACCACCAAGCGTTAGACCTATCACGTGACTGAAGTCCTGGATAAAGTATCGATTCACTAAAGAATAAGTTCTAATCAAATTCTATGGGGATTGATCTCTAAATTGTTCTCACCAAAAACCGGCTGGTATATTTTTCGAAAGCCAGTTAGCTGAACCCTAGGTTAACCTAAAATTCAAAGCAAGATAATATTTCTTCAAACTTTTTGTGTGGATCAATATAGGAGTGTTCTTTTCTGAAGTTTTGAGATAAACGTGCAGAAATACACAAACTAAAACAGTGAGTTAAGTTGTGAACAAGCTTTCGTTGGTAGGGATGTAACTACCTGAAAATATATAAGGAGCGAAGGCCCTTCGTCTGGAGTTACTAGCGGAGTAACGGAAGTCGGGAAAATTACATGAGCTTTTATACTAAGATTGGCACTACCTAGCCTGCTCACAGACGTTGTAGTTCTTACGCCAAGCGACGAAATACTATTAGGCACTACCTACACTGGCAAAAAAGTTACATTTTGACCTAGGGTTAACACTAATGGTGCTTTGAATAACTGGCCTTAACTTATCTTTTTTCTACTGAATAGCTGTGGTTGTTTTCGCAGCCTACTAGAGGTGAAAGGCATTTGTCTCCAGTACCCCACAATCATTTTAAAACGGTCGAAGAAAGTGCTTCCAACTCTCACTTGCATGTCTTTTCTCCACCCCACAGCACCGCTCCCAATCGATACAGTTACGGCAAGAAATTACGACCTTCTCAGACCTGGCCAAGTCAGCTGGACATGTATAGACAATTATTATCACCACCAAGAGGTGCGCCACGAAGAAGAAAACCGTCAGCAAAGAGGGAGGCGAGATATAAAGTTCAAATAATGGACAAGAATAATGACTCAGAGGTAGAGTTCTTTGCCAAATATTTAATGGGGAAAATGTGATCCTTTCTCGCTTGTACAGACCTTCGCCTGTATTGTGCTCACTCACACTCAAAGAGGAAAAAATAGTCAAAGAGTATTTTTTCCTCATTCACACTCAAAGAGGAAATTATAACAAAAACATGTTTCTTTGTCTGTTTAACTGCAGGACACCTTCGATGATGTGACTCAAAAATTCGATGAATCCAGCAAACGCATCGCATTTCATCCCAATCGCCCAAAGTCTACATACGGGAATAGATCTCTGTCGACTAATAACAACGAAGATGGCGACCGCGAGCATAGTGGAAAAGACTGGGTACCAAAGATAGTATTAGTTGACAGTCAAAAATTGGAAGCAAGTTCTGAGCATGATAGTGGTAGTGTGAGCGCTGACCAGTATGCAATGCAGTATGTGAAACTTGGGGATAGAGTGTTGTTTGAACTTGCCGTAGACGGTAAGTGTGAGAATTTGGGCAGCAAAATATTTGTTGGGGGCAAACTTGTAATACATGTATTAAATTACAAAGAGTAGGACAATGAAGAACAAAATTGTCACTGGCAAATAGCCAATGTACTTTCTCACATATGTAATGCACTCAATGTGACACAGTTGCATGTTGATTTTTATCTAGGTAAGAAACAAAATATTCCAGGCAGCGTCAAGTATGTTGGTCCTGTATATCACTCGAATTTCAAGTCAGGAATCTATGCTGGGTTGAAGTTAGATATCCCAGGTAAAATGAGTGGCTATACGAATTGTTGATACCTTTCTACATATGAAACAGATAAATGTTACCACGACGAACTAACAATGTATACTCTAATGCTATATAATAATTAATTTACTCCGTCTAACCCCAGAGGATTTTCTCATCGAGGCCAAGGGGGGTTTGGGCATTAATGGGTTAATCAGACTCTCTGACCATGTCTTTTGTATATAACCCATTCAGCTACAACACGACCTAACTCTGTTAATTTACTCCATCCAACGCCCAGACAAAAAAGTTCTAACCGTTCGTCTTTCCCTTTTTTAGCTGGAGATACAAATGGCACCATCGGTGACAGACTGTATTTTCGCTGTTTGAAAAATCACGGGAAATTTATAAAAGTATCGCATATTCTCGCCGTTCAAAACCCTCGGGTAAGATAAACTTTCCTTCCATGAATACCGTAGAACGATAATTTTAAATTCTAAAACATTTTATTCTACTTTGCAGACCCAACAGTACACAAGAGTTCTTCCAATGGCGTATAAATAAGGATCAACGTATAATCATTTATCATTGTCATCTTAAAATCGTTGATGTCTTCATTAGTTAGTGTGTTTCTTCACTGAAAGTCTTTTCTACTTAAATTATATTTTCTTATGCATGTTTGAATATATTTTTGTATTATCCATTTCTATACTCGAACTTAGTTTATATATTGTTTATGTTATAATAAAGAAAGTAGATTGTATATTGTGTCGTTACATGATTTGTTCACATTGAGAAAGCTGTGGATTGTTAGGGATATAACTACCTGGGAAATCATGGATTGATAGGGATATAACTACCTGGAAAATAATGGATTGATAGGGATATAACTACCTGGAAAATAATGGATTGATAGGGATATAACTACCTAGAAAATCATGGATTGTGGATAAAACTGCATGGAAATTCAGTTTTACCGACTTGACACATTTACCGACTTGATGATGCTGCTGTACAAAAAGCAGGTGCTATTTGATGTCAGAACAGCGAGAAAGACATGGAATAGTGTAGAGAGGCTGTTGGATGTTGACATTCAATAGGCTGGAAAGACTGTGATGGACAGAACAGCGTGCAGGTACGAACAACTGTTGGATGCTAGATTCCCAGCTACCAACAATGACAGTAACAACAATAACTACCAAAAACTACAACGAACACTTTGCGCAGATAGATGTACGCTAAGCGTACCTATTTTTTGAAATTGGAAAATTTACCACTTCGGTCTGAATTTCTGAACAACACCCATATGTCAACAACGAACTTCTTGCCGTTGGATCAGTATGGCCGAATTTTCCCAATGACAAGTTCTAAGTGATATTCTCACAAATTTTTAAACTTTAATGACTAAATTTTGACACAAACCCCTAGCAACAGTACAAACTACAGTACAAACTATTCTTACAGAGTTTTTATCTCTTTTTCTCGTCTTGATATTTGTAATGCAGTTCACCAACATCATTCTGTGATACCTTGATCCAGCCCGTCTCTTTCATATGGTACACTAAATTACAAAATCATTGCGCATTTAGTTAAACGTGATTTCGCAAAGAAGTGTTATTTTTCGTAGGCTGAGGAACGAAAGAGGCAGAAAATTTGATCTGAAAATTGTATATGACCTTCCGCTCCACATTTCTATCTTAAAAACTTTTCAACTCGATTCGAAAATTGGCTAGCTCCACAAAAATAAAATGTAATACCCGTTGTCCACTATGGTAAAAACAATATGTTGTACTTACTGTTTACAACCCCACCACTGTACGCAACTCTATAAGTTGCATGATAGGTAGCCCTCTTCCAGGGACTAATATTATAGACTAAACTCGATTCGAAGATTGGCTAGCTCCACAAAAATAAAATGTAATACCCGTTGTCCACTATGGTAAAAACAATATGTTGTACTTACTGTTTACAACCCCACCACTGTACGCAACTCTATAAGTTGCATGATAGGTAGCCCTCTTCCAGGGACTAATATTATAGACTAAACTCGATTCGAAGATTGGCTAGCTCCACAAAAATAAAATGTAATACCCGTTGTCCACTATGGTAAAAACAATATGTTGTACTTACTGTTTACAACCCCACCACTGTACGCAACTCTATAAGTTGCATGATAGGTAGCCCTCTTCCAGGGACTAATATTATAGACTAAACTCGATTCGAAGATTGGCTAGCTCCACAAAAATAAAATGTAATACCCGTTGTCCACTATGGTAAAAACAATATGTTGTACTTACTGTTTACAACCCCACCACTGTACGCAACTCTATAAGTTGCATGATAGGTAGCCCTCTTCCAGGGACTAATATTATAGACTAAACTCGATTCGAAGATTGGCTAGCTCCACAAAAATAAAATGTAATACCCGTTGTCCACTATGGTAAAAACAATATGTTGTACTTACTGTTTACAACCCCACCACTGTACGCAACTCTATAAGTTGCATGATAGGTAGCCCTCTTCCAGGGACTAATATTATAGA